GGGATTCGAACCCGGGTCTTCGGCGTGACGAGCCAACGCTTTAACCACTAGGCTACCCCACCGCCCCTTAGTCAACAGTAAAGGAGCATCACTTATAACAATGATATTGCACATACTAACGTTAGATATCAGATATCGGCAGGCAATGCTAATTTTGCATCATTGAGGCAAACACAGCACCAAACTGTACAACACATTGAGGAAGACGGGACACGAAGGCGTTACTTTTTAGTAAATAAGGCTTACATTTTAAGACATGTTTCAGAATCTTCTAAAGATATTCCGTAACTGGATGACAGCACTTCGATGAGTATCTTATGTATTATACCTCTGGTTATTTATGCTAAATACCCAAGACCTTTTTAAACGAGCAACTCCTATTTAAGTTAAAAAGGAGACTCAATCAGGTATTAATTAAACTAGTGAAAAATCTAGACTAGCTTAGAAATGAGTGAGCGAATTGGGTTTTACGTCACTTGTTGCAATCTTCCAGCAATATCATGGCAGGGGACACCAGAAATGGGCTTCACACACTGTACCCATGGTGTTATGAGAGAACGTGTTAACTACTGGGCAACCCCACCACCCCTGCATAGCAATGAGAGAGACAGATGTCACCGACTGTGTGAGGCTGTGGTAACCAAAAGGGTCTGGGTATCTATCACACTAAAACAGAGACGTTACCCTGGAGTGAGCGAGTGTGGTTTTACGCCACTTTTAGCAATATTCCAGCAATATCACGACGGGGACGAAACGGATTCACACACACCAGAATCAACGGTCTTCACACACTGTACCCATATGGGGGCTATCCCAACCCAGGTCTTGGCATGATTTACGACCTTGTTCCACAGCTTTATCCACTAGGCTACCCTGGTTTTACCACTTTTAGCACGGTTCCCTGGAACATACAGGATGATTTACACCACCTTGTTCCACAGACAAGTTGTTACATCTAAACCTAACAAGGATCAGCCTCATTATCGTCTTGTGATACAGGGCAATGGGATTACTTCCAAACAAATCTGTCCATCACGGTTGGCTGTAAAATACCACTTATTGGTAATATTAGATTCACTACACTAATAAAGAAACATCTGTTGCCCTGAATAGCTATACAATATCTACATAGACAGGCTTCAAAATAGACCTATGTTTGAGACAGGTAGACTTCAGTATGGACAACCAATCTCTTACGTTCTCCTGATGTTACCATGAGGTGTCAACTGAAACATGTTTCATCGACTAGTGAAATGGAAATTTCTAGCTGCAACAGAGATACTCTAGCAGAGATGTTACTGGTCTTTTCAAATCACTGTCTGTTTGTCCCTGAACCAGCATAACTGGCACATTCACTATGAAGTTCCAAACCCCAGCATTTTTACAGTTAGACATACACAATATGTCAACACTGGGGAGCCCAAGAAGGGACTTCACCAACCATTGTGGGAAGTTTAAACTTGTCCTACTGGACTAAAGCACCATCCCTCAGCAAACCTGTCACATTGCAGGTTCTCTAAATAGTGAGTGAGTATGGTTTTACGCTGCTTTTCGCAATATTGCAGCAATATCATGGTGGGGGACACCGGAAATGGGGCTTCACACATTGTACCCATGTGGGGAATCGAACCAGTAGGCAGAGCCAACAACTTACCCACTGGGCTACCTAACCGCCTCAAATAAGCAACCACCAAGCTGATATTACGAAGAAAGACAAGACCAAATTATCTATTGCAGCATTCACAAGGAACGTATCTGAACTGTGCAAGTTAAGAATGGCAGTCTTTCACATATTCAATGAGCAAAAGTGGAATCTTTCAAATTCCATTAATTCTCATTTTCGATGGGACAATTCAGTTCTAACAAAATACCATATTATGTACGAAGCTCAACCGTTGTGATTAAAACAGGGTATAACATAAGCAAAAGCAGCATGTTTTAAAAAATATTCCACATATCGACTTCAAGACATGCAATAAAGGACAAGTCACTGCAACATTAAAACACATGCAACACAGGAAGACACATGTAACACAAAACAGTTGCTTTCTAGATATCCAGCACAGCAGGATTTCAAATAACATGAAATAACATATGGAACATGATACTTCTGTTACAGACACATAGTACTGACATACGTTAAATTACGTTCAGATGCATAAACTGTTTCTGTGTTGATTCCACTCACTGACGGACACCAAGTTTCCTACAGCTATACTTGATATCGTTTCATGCAAAGATTACACTCATTGTCTATATAATCACAATCAGTTACAGTTAAAGCTCATGGCAAACTTGTGTGGACCTCAAAAAAGGTTTGAGGGTTCATGGCATCAAAGGAATTTTACGCTTAATTAGCACACTTGGGACTCCCAAGTGAGTTCGAGCAAAACTGACACAGACAAGTCTGGACGAGTTTTAACTGAACGTACTGTAAGAGTTCCAACAACTTCCAACACATCAAATTAATGTTGACTGGATCTCATTATTCAAATACTTATTCAAAACGTAAACCAGATTATCACAGGTAAAGAAAATCAGTTTAATCTGATGTATAATGTGATCTGATTTGGCCACTGCACAGTGAATTGATTCAATAAACTCCATGTTATCTCTCTGATGGAAGAGATCAACTGACCTGCTGTATCCTAGAGTCAGTTATCCTCAATAATGCCTCACAAAAATGTACATTTTCCCCTGCCACTGGAAGCCATATTGTCAGTATTCTTGTTTAAAAACTTTAATTTGGAAAAACCCATCATAAAACAATACATGACCATTAATGTGAATGAACACGATGATGATGAAAGTGTCAAGAATTAATCAATGTCTTATCAGGGTCTGAATAACATTCATGAACAACTCAAGATTCACAAGATGTTTAACCAATGTTCATCTTAACCTTCAAAAGACATTGCCATAAAAGCTGTACATTTATATCACATTATGATGTATGTCAAGTTTCTTAAGTATTTGGCAAGGAAATCTCAAATATATCCTGCTATCATGTGCTGGCGATTTCTCCACTAACAGTGACCTTCAATCCTTAACGTAATAACATTGTAACTAGGGCTGGGACGATTCACTGATACATCACGACACATTAAAGTTTGCTACAGCTACCGTATTGTCGACTGGTGTATCGATACAAAATGATACACAACTTTGTTTAAAAACAGTATTATCTTAAACATGATAAAGTACATATTTAGACAAGAAATAATTGTGTCCAGGGACATGGATGCCCCCGCTGACATTCATAAGACATATAAAGATCAATAATTGAACAAAATTCACGAACAAGTTCAATAAACATCTACATGTATGCAACTATGAGATGCACACCTTTCGAGTCCCAATGAAACACATGTATAAGCTTAATCAATTCTGTTGAGCAGTTTTTGTGGAGAAGTGGATAGACTTAATCCCCTATTTCACTATCATCAGAGAGAAATTCAACAAAATTTATCTAAGTTCAAATCTCTCTAAACATACAAAAAACTATTAAAAAAAAGAAAGAAATATGAGATGCACACCTTTAGAGTCTCTATAAAAGACATATGTAAGCTAAATGTGTTTTGTGCAGTGGTTTTTGAGGAGAAGTGGATAAAGTACACCCCCTGTTGTATGGGACTAACAGGATGAATAGAACCAAATTCAAATAAGTTCAAACATCTGTAAAATTAAGAAATTGCATAAACAATTATGAAATGCACACCTTTAGAGTCCCTACGAAAGACATGTAGAAGTACATTCAATTCTGTTGAGCAGTTTTTGTGGAGAAGTGGATAGACTTCATCCCCTATTACACTATCATCATAGAGAAATTCAGCAAAATGTACCTAAGTTCAATTGTCTCTAAACTTACAAAAAAAAACCAATAAAATACAAAAACAAAATATGAGATGCACACCATTTGAGTCCCAAGAAAGCCCATGTATAAGTTCATTGAATTCCACAGAGAGTTTTTTGTGGAGAAGTGGATAGAGTACATTCCCTGTTTCGTATGGATGGACGGACACGGAGGGTAACCCTATATGCCCCCAGCCATATATGGCAGGGGCATAAAAAATACGCAAGTATGATAGAGTTACTTGTATGTTTATTACAATAGTGTTATTGTTATACACAAATACCTTGAAATAAATCATTTTAGATCTTAATACTGTGTCATTCTTTCAAGGTGTATGTATTGTGATACATATCGTATCGCAGGTAAAATATCACGATATGTATCGTATCGTGACATAGTGTATCGTCCCAGCCCTAATTGTAACTTGTAAATATGTTTTCACAAGTTCTGGTTAACATGCAACAAAACTTCAACTTTCATCATTTAATATTGCCTGTAGCATATAGAACACACCAAGGATATTTTGAAAGTGTCATTCCTTACACTTATTGCAACTCTCCAGTAACACTATACAGAGATCAACAGATTATGCATATGTCACCTTGGCAAAAACAATTAGCTATGGTCAATGTAACCATGTTGACTTCACAAAATGGTCTGTGGCTGCTCTACTTAAATACTTTAGGGAATAATCAAGTTTACTTTTCCATTATTTTCCATACACATATTTATAACAAGTAAGAGAATTCATGTGGATCCCTAGCTGTTTCTGTTGACCTGCAAAATATGTAATACTGTCTGTGCCAAAGCATTGGAGTCTACCAGAATATACTCATCCATTGACATGTTTTTATAGCAGCTCTCAACATGCTCAGTGATAATGTATGGACTATTATTTGCATAGCTCACTAGCCTGAAAGAAAGTTTTCTAGACTCAGACTTCAGACTAATGGCTGAGGTTGTAGACAGAATACATGGTCTTTGGTGGCATGGAAATGACAAGATATGCATTAAACAGATCCGTGTCATGGAGTTCTTAGATCATTAAAGGGAGCAGGCTGTTGAGATAATACCAGGTGCTTACAAGGATTAGGATGTAGGAGCACCACCTCTAACATGTCCAACACAATTAACATGACACAAAAAGTAACCTTCCAATAAATAATTATTTATTCATCATTAACACAGATCATTAATAAGTTAAATACAAGAGTGGCATAAAAATAATGGCATTAGAAGACTGTGCATCTATAATTGAACACTAACAGTCAAACAATTTAACAAGAAACTTCACTCTCTAGTAACATCTCTCTCACATGGCTGGGGTCCTTCTCTCCAGGTTTCTTCTCTTTAGAAAGAGCTTCGCTAGTGAAGCCCCCAGCCGGGCCTGACTGTTCAGGCAAGTGGGGAGGCATTGAGCTGGACTGTTCATAAGTACTACCACTGCCCCCTGTAGGTTCTTGGGCTCCTGAATGGTGATCGTCATAGTGTTCAACATTTTGTTCACTGGCACAAGCTTTGAGTTCGAGAAGGTCCAAGGCGGCATTGATAAGTTTGACTGCCTGCCTTCGTGAATCTCTGATCCTGTCCTGACCCCCAGCTTGAACCCCGTCAAGTTTCAGGAGGCTCCGAGTCAGCATCTCTTCTAAGTATTTGTACTCCTTGTCAGTTTTCTTCCCCTGAAACACGTTCACACTTGCTTCGAGATTTTTCACATCATTCACAACGCCATTAATAATATCGAAAGCTTTTTCTTCCTCAGACTTTTGCTGCGGAGGAGCTGATGGGGGTTGCTGCTGACCACCCATTGGTTGCTGGGGGCTGAAAGACTTCTGAGCATGCTCATTCAATGATGGACCACTTGAAAAATGAGACTGGGTGTTTGGCTGAGGCATTTGCTGACTGGATTGGTTTTGAGCTCCTGGCTTTGAGTTTTCGTGGATAATTGGTATGACAATAGGTTCATTAGTGTCACGGCGGGGTGGAGCTTGTTGCTGACTTGGTTGGTGCATCCCTTGAGGAGGATATCCCTGGGGTTGTGGGTAAGCCTGGGGTTGGTGTCCCTGTGGGTGGGGATATCCAGGCTGAGGCTGAGGCTGAGGGTGGCCTGGCATTGGCTGTTGGTGGCCCTGAGGTGGCGGTGGATATCCTTGACCATGTCCATGACTTGGCTGTACCTGTGGTCGGTTTTCACTGATACTCAAATGCTGAACAGGTATTTCTCTCATGCCTGGGGAATTCCTTCCTTGGGTTTGTTGCATGGGGTGACTTTGTTGGGAGGGTGGAGTTGCACGCCCCTGGGGGTATGCCTGGTGAGGCTGAGGCTGTGGCTGAGGTTGAGGCTGAGGTGGCCATGTACTGGTATGCAGAGGCGCCTGCCTGTTAGGTGACGCTCTAGAAGATTCATGAATGACTGGAATTTCCACTGCCTTCCCCTGAGGGTAGAAGCTTTGCTGGTGACCACGACCCATTCCAAAATCTTGTTGAGGATAACCCATTGAATGAGCCTGTAAATGTCACAATATGGAATATGTAGTCATTGTACAAATATAACATCTAGATCACATCGATTTAGTTATGTGATATTACCATGATTACTGTTCAGACAGTTATTTTTCATCACATGTTGTTTGTATTGTTATTCAATTTCCTTGATGGTAACATATTAAACTGAAAATAAACCCCTAAAAGTTTGATTAGGAAAAGTCTCTGTCAATAAATGCTGAGTCATCGTGTTTTACATCATACATTTTACAGCCAACATAGGGTTGCAAGTCAACAACAACAAAATCTCTACAAGCATGAAAAGTGACAAGGGCCATATCAACTTTAACCGGTAATATTTACAAAAGTGGACCCCGATTGTACTAGCACTAATTAATATCTGCTTATCAAATTTTGAATGAAGCCTGACCTGAACAGCAAAATTCATAATCACTTCATCCTGCTTAAACATGCATCAGCTACTAAACTGAAGCCAGTGTCTATGGCTGTAGGTGAATTCATAGACCAGACTGGTTCGTAGACGTGGAAATCCGGTGGATTCGTAGACGGATTGAGCGGTGGATTCGTAGATGTTAGTAAAATGGGAAAAGTTCAACCTCAATGATGATGAAAATCGACGAAAAGTGTTTGCATTTTGTGAAATAAATAAAATATATCAGGTAAGTATGATTGGCGGTGAAAATATGCTTAAAATAATAAAATATGCTTCACAGTGGTCCACATCCGACAAATTCCGACAAATCATAGGCCGCTAATATATTAAATTCAGTTGTGTAAAATTAAAAAATATGTATTAGGTAAGTATCGTCATTCAATTCAACTACGCAGACCAGCAGAGAAGTAGCAGAAAACACTTCTTAAGAAAACACTTACATCTCCTACACAGAGTATTTCACAATCAAAACAACTCACCACTTCCTAATTAACATTCACAACAACTCAGTGAAACCTGTTAATCCTCCCACAACAATGAAAACAGTCGGGAAATTATGATGAGTAGACTAATTTTGTCTGATCCGCCTACAAAGTTTACCTGTACAAACACTTTTTGCTTCTTTTTACACTCTTTCAGATGATCTTGTTTAAAAAATTATCTGCATATTATTAGTATAATGATTATACCTCACATTTATATAATTTATTTTCTAGATTCATACAAATACATGTAAAACAAGTCTAGACAAGAGACGGGAAAATATTCGTTCACTCTTCAATTACACTTTCTTGTCCTTATCTGCCCTTAGCTTCGTATCACACAAAGCATAAGAACTTCGTTATGCACATTCTAAGTAAAAATCAAACTTAATATATACTATTATTCAATTATTAATACACGTCTACGAAATCACAGTCTACGAACCAGTCTGGGTTACGAATCCACCGCGTCTACGAACTGGTTCAGTCTACGAAATCACCGTATCCCGTGTCTACTCATATTCTGTTACTGTGTTCACAAACTGGAGCAGTACTGATCATCATTTCGGCTGAACATTATAAATAATGGGATGGATCATCTTGTCTCAGGAACATATAAGTCGTTACCTGGCCAAAATGATTACTTTGGAGATATGGACAAAATAAATGTATCTTGAACATCATTTAAGAGTTTAGTGTATTATATAACAAAAAATGTTAACCGTCCCCAACAACACATTAGGCTGCAAAAACATATTTTTACTGGGTAAAATGAGCAGTTGGGTGATTTAACCTATCTGTGCATCTGTAACACAGATCAGTTGATTTGTAACGGTTCTCATGTTTATCAATTGGCTTCAAACGAGTGAAACGTTTAGTGGACTTTGACAAGGACTGGTAATGGCTATTTAATTCAAGACAGCAAGTTTCGTGACTCCTGACTGACAGGGACAGTTTATAGTCATGTAAAGTAATTTCCTAACTCTTGTTTTCAAGGGTTCAGCTTATGTCTAGAGGATCGCACCAGGTGTATCTTAGGTGGCTAATCTACGATTTTCATGACCATCCCACCCAAAAAAATATCCGAAATGAAAACTTACCATCCGTAGCCTTGGGTCTTGCCAAGTCGTTTGATGTGTGTTATGATCCACAAAATATGGCCATCCTGTTGTCTTGTCGTATAACATTTCCCAACCCGTCGGTAGAGGTTCGTTCCTATGAAATGTCTGACTGTACGGATCTTGATAAACTGATCTCCCAGCCATTGTCGCCCGTATATATAGTCCTTCAGCCAAAGCCTTCGAAACAACACGACTGTTCGTTCACCATCTAGAAAGGTCTCCGAAGTACTCGAGGCTATTTACCTTACACATAGTTCACATGCTTCCAGGGGCTTAACGATTTCCATTGACTGCTTATGGAATAGTGTTTCATTGTCAAGCGATAAATATGTTTCATGTATATTTTTGAATTTATCAGCACACAAACAGACTTCGTCTGTAATGTCGGTCGATAGTATATTGGTGTAATAATAATATAATATAATACCGATTATCATATCTTAATTTCTAATTACCGCTTTGTATTTATATTTCTAGTCACCCCTTTTCTAGAAATGAAAAGTCAGTAACATCTTAAATGTAAGTTATCGTTATATATATAAATACAAGTATAACTGAGGTTTTAGCTAATTATCTTTTGTTTATTGTTTGTACCCTTTAGAGTTTTTCTGCCAGTGTGAGAGCACTTTCCTGTTTGTTGTCTCCTTCTATCATCGTTGATACATATTAATGGTGAGTAGTTGTGCCTTTTTATAGATCTTTGAAAAAAATAGCATCACACCGAAATCATGTTTCGCTTCAAAAGCTTTTAAAAAGTTATCTTCTATTATAACTAGTTTTTAGGAAATCACTCTTGTTTATGACGGGCACCTGCGCCATCATCGGGAACCTTCGCGAGAAAACCATTCTAAGGGAGGTAATCACTGACATTCCGAGCACAGAAACTCCCAGTCAGTTCATCACAAACCGGCTTTATGGGCGGGATTCGTCATTCAATTTTGCGCCATAGCAAATTCCTTGCCTTTAAATGGAATTTCGCAATATATTTCACTACATTAGAAAATGTGACAATTAAGCGGGACGTTTGACTTCATTTGAACCTTGATCATTAAATAAAATGTAAACGTGGATGTGACAATCCATGTAGAGATAATACACATAACATGGCGTTTTGCCATTGTGATCAACATTTAATGTCGTGGGATTTTATGATACAGACTGGGTCATGGAAAGGTGTTACAGGTAGTTTATAAAATGAGATACACAGGTTGTGTAGTTAGTGTTCACTTAAAAAAGAATCTATTTCTCACTTTTCTCGTAATACCATTATGGTAAGTCATTGGCGGATCCAGATGGGGGCTTCAGGGGGTTCCACCCCTGCTCCTTTGAAAATGACTTAAGACCACATTGAATATTTATTTTGCGTTGGCGGAGCCAATGGGGGTGGTGGTGGTGTTGGTGTATGGGTGGGTGGGTGGGTGGGTGGTTTGGGGTTTGGTGTCAGGGGGTTCGAACCACCTGAACCCATCCCTTTCAGAATTCCTGGATCCGCCCATAGTAAGTACTGTTTGGAACCATTTTGAAATCTGGCTTTTGGCAAAATGTCAGATAAAGGTTAACATTTTACAGGAATATGTCTTACTGAGATTGGTAAAATAAATCATTACTAAATAATAAACCAGTCTTAATACAATAATTATAGTCATGAAAAACATAATATATCACAGAAGATTCCAGCGTATATCATGAGTACATTGCAAGAAATCCAAAGGGGACTTACCAGATAATATATAAAAAAATAACAAAAAAAGACAAACGCCACCAAACGCCTGACTCTTTAAGTAAGTACATATATATCACGGTCCGACATATATGGCAAGAATTGATGAACACCTAATATAGACATAATAAATATTTGCATAGTGATGTCACTGGCAGCGTTCGACATAGCTACTGGCCCGCTAGCCAAATGCTAGGTGATTGTGAATCGGGCCAGTTATATATTGTTAAAGCTATCCCGACTGGCCAGCTGAAAATCTCAGATAATTTGTTCTGTATTTAATGCACATGAATATGATGATGCGAATTATTAAGATGTTAAAAGTCAGTCTGCAAAAGTTTCGTGATATTTATTATCTCTTGTCACAGGAAGATCGCTATATAAACAATGTTAATAGCGTTGCGCAAAAGAGGTCAGGAACCATTACAATACAAATGTAACGTTTAACATCACACCAATTCTGACCGATGTGCATTTTGGTATTGATATTTTGCAGGGCCAGTGAAGTATGATGTGGGCTAGCAACATTTTTACTTAACTAGCCCTCCTGACCAGTGGCCTTTCAAGGTTAATTCATACACTGGTCACTGGTATAGTTTTAGTACATTGCATATATATATGTCCTATTCGAGATGACGCATGCACGGGTTTTTATCGACAAAGTTCTAGTTTTGGGCGCTTCCCGTATGTCTACATACCAGCTGTATAGAAACATAGAAAACATGTTTATGTTTTCGATAGTCTAACAACGGACGCCATCCACGACAGAAACATTCGTAACAAACAAGCTGGTATGTAAACACACTGTTCTGTACGGTGTATACTAAACTCTTTGCACTGCTCGGGTCACGACAGTCCTTGTAAGGAATACTAGCGGCTTATACATATGACGTCAGTAAGAGAGCACGACACGCGCATAATTTATCATTGGAGACAGATGACCCGTCGTCAAGGTGTGTCAGCTGGGGGTTCGTTTCATGTTGGAGGGGAGCAAACAAGTCGATGTTGTTTAGACAGACTCAAATCTTCTTGGATTAACTTGTCTTGAACAGTCAGTGCATGTATATCAAAGTATAGTGTTGACTACCACTTTCACCATTTGGTGGTTGACAACTATATGCAGCAGATAACGCTTTAGCGACTAATGAAATTAAAACTTAATTAAATTAAAACAATAAAAACTATTTTACCGGCTATTGTTTTATCCAGTCACGCTACATGAGGCTCCAACACAATTCCGTATGCACATACTCGAGCCATGTTGCTGAGTTGCCGAGTTTCGTAACAAGGAGTGATAGGGCGGATTGGTACTAGTGAATTACTGATGCTTATCATGACTGTAGAATCCTCCAAAATATGGACCTTTCTGAATATGGGACTGAAAACATTTAAGCACCCTTATATTACACGGAGAGAAGGAAAAGGTTCTGTTTCGAAATAGTCATTTCGTGCACTGATTAAATCTTTTAGTAATTTCATGAAATGAACGTCTGTTTTTCATTACCTGACCGATTTCCATTTAGTCAAATATGATAATCCATGGTGAAACTCCAATTACTTGCTACTCATTAAAACAGTCCAATTATCTTTAGAAAACAATATATGGCTTTGACTCATTGAAAATCACAAATGTACTATATATGTTTGTCAACACACTCGCAAAAGCCGTGGTGTTAAAAGTCTTCTGAGTCTCTCTTGTATGGAAATACACACCAGAATGTAACACTTGTATATATAATATGGAAGATTGTTTGTAACTAAAAGATGTGGATGGAAATTTCGTGTTTTCTCCTTCCTAATGCCGCTTAGTCATGTCACGAACTGTCTGGTCATAGATTTCAAGAAATTACAAAAACTACCAGTCATTTCATAAAAAATATAAATACCTCACCTCAGTTTGTGATGAGGTTATAGGACGTATTGTTATTGGTAATACGAAGTGTATCAGTTTTCACTCATTTCTGAGACAGTTTCACTCGCTTTCTTTTTGTCATAGGATACATACTTTGCAGTTCATCAGTTATTTTTTAAGTTATTATCTATACACCTGGTTCAAGGATCTTCCTATATACACAAACCCACTCCGTCTTTTAAGTGATTTACGGTGCATTGGGGGCTAAACCAACGCGTATACGGTACACAAGTGAGTGAGTTTGATTTCACCAAAGACGTATATATACATTGTATATACTAAGGGTGGGTATTGCAGAGAAGTTTCATATTGCGATATATTGCGATGCGAAAGCATGTATTGCGATATGTATTGCAATATATTGCGTGAAGTATTTTTACACAAAAAAATACTTATAAGCGAGGAAATGCTTGATTTATAGAGCACATACACAGCAAAATCACTATGCTTGATTAAGCTTAAATAACAAATGCACAAATGCACAAATGAAAAAAGGAAATATCCGAGGATTTCCGAGTGTTACTAAGTTTTCCGAATGCAAGTCAAAATACCGGTTTTCGATCAGCGTATCGCAATAAGTATCGTTTTCATGTCTGAACCGGTAAATACCGGTAAACGGGTTATGTTGCGCAGCCCTAGTATATACGTCTTTGGTTTCACCCTACGTTCAACAGTATTTCGGTAATGAGGAATGTTCTAGACGTTCATTACTTCGGTGAAACTCACGGACATTGTACGGTGCAGACAAACCATATATCACAACAGACACAACTCATGATTTTAAAGCCACGATTAGCGGATCCTGGAATCTTGTAATATGCTATTACTACATTAAGCAAGATATGGAGATGACTTTGTACACGGCTCTGCAAATGAAGGTCATCCCAACCTATATCCTGAAGAAATGTCTTTTAAAGTTTTAATACTGGGTCGTAAAAATAGCTGTATCGATGCAAATATATCGTAGACCATTAGTTCAAAACACCTTCTTTAATACAACGGAGAAATTGTACGAACTGGTTGCGATCTAGACATTTCTAGAAATATAATGATTGTGACTGGAAGTAAGTCTTGTCATTCAAAGGGACGTAACTCGAAATCACGTGATTTAGACAAGTCATTCTGCTCAAGTCACCCATTTTCGTGGTCGCGTCTCCCGTTTTCGATGTGCTTCAAAATAACATTGTAATATCCGTTGCCTGAGAGTATGTCTGATAACATACATACTTAGATTTTACAGAATCCGAATATGAGAGGAAAGAAGGTACTTTCACGCACTTTTTCACCTTGAATTACAGTTTAGGAAGTAGATTATCTCATGTCAGTGTGAGATAAAATTACTATCCTTGACTAAAAATAGTGTGTAAAATATCACTTTGACGTTATTTGTTTCAGCCGGAACCGAAGAAGACCACTGGGGACTCGATACCACCTCAAGTTGTAAGTAAAAGTGATATTATTTGACTGAGTGTCTGATACCAGTTGTAACTTGTCACATTTGAAGAATGTGATGTTTCTTGGCACAGGACCAAATTCGTCTGCTATTTTGTTATTATAGAATATCATTTACATGGTCACGTGTCTCATACAAACAGTACCACATTGTTTCTCAAATCCATAAAGGTCCTGAAATGGGATGTGACACAAAGAGGCAAATATGGTGACATATTATTGAAAATTGTTATGTCTCATGAGGACATGCTTTATTCAACTTAAATCCTTGATTATCCAATGTATTATATCTCCATTAGTTCGTTTACTATTTTGCTACCAAAGTTGTGTCACCATCTCAGTGTCGCTTATCTTCACTTATTATCACCCCAGTGAAGATTCAGGTTAGAATGCGTGTATAATATTATCATATAGAGTAACTTAATTTACAATGTTTATATGATGCATAGAGTATAAATATTCATTAGCAGATGATATTTTCTGTGATATCTTATGAGTTAACTTGAGAAATGGAACTCGGTAAGAAGAACGCAGTCCACTAAGAGATAGGGCCTTCACCGAAAGTATTCACCGGACAACCCGGCTTCAAGCTGATGCTAATTGGCATTTAGTATTGTATTTCGGCGTTTTTTTTCATATTATTTTCATCTTTATAAGTTGAATTTGCATTTTTGACGAAATGGGGTGTAGGCCATATGCAGACAGGCCGTTAGAATGGGTCTTCAGCAACCCATGCTTATCACAAGGAAAGACTAATTTGACTGAGTGGTCAGGCTTGCTAATGTGGTAGATGCATGTCATTGTATCCCAGTTGCAAAGATTAATGTTGATGTCCATCACAGGTTTGTTTGATCTAGATTCGATGATGTTCAGAATGTCGCTGGAGTATTTCTGAGTGCAGCATCAAACAAACAAGCAAAATGAAAAAGATTTAGTCATGCAAGCAATCACTTTTATGCCTACACACACTTCTACAAGCTTTGTTAACGAATACCCAGTGCCTTCCAAGAAGTGGTCAGTTGTATAAATTTGGGATTACACTTTCTTAGTAAAGTACAATTCCTAGTACTTTTTGTTGGAGTCACATCCAGAATTTGTACCCTCAGAGAACTTTGCATAACTGTGACATTTTCCCAATTCTAATTTATAGGTCTGTGTCTCCAGTTCACTGTATTAGTGCCCCAGGTGTTACACAACAAACACGATCTTATTCCATAGCACAACATTTCTCTCACTCTTGAATTTGAAATCAACAGTCAAATAACATGACTTGATAGTGGTCACATTTCTGTTTTCAAAATTGTGTCCTCCTAACACAGTGTTTGATTCAGAACATCGATAAGTGTGATCTACTCCAAGTGTAGGCACTCTGTCTGTGACAGTTCACAGAGTTTGCCTGTTGGGTAGCTGCTAGTCTGTCTCACAGTCCCTGAACCACATTAATTTCCCTACTGCCAAGCCCTCTCTGCAGTGCTAAAGCCCTAAATAAAGCAAGTCAGATTTCCTCAGGTTCTGAATCTCTGGTCTCCCTAGGGCTCCTTTTCAATATAAATGGGCTTGTTTGTTACTATCAAAATTATATATATTCAGAGACTAAGCCTTAGTCTAGGTAGCTGCCTCAGCCCTACAACATGTACACATTTCCATCCATCGCTCATCGCCACATGTTAAGTTGACAGCCATCAGTCATTACATGCACAAGTTGTGTATCCCTTCCAGCAAATGGGTCCTGTGGTTGTAAAGTTCATCAGGATAACTGCATCACTGGTTCAGATCTAGGTGACCACTTGTTTGTCTCTACTTTGGGATCCATAGGATTAGAACTTGGTATTATCAAACAGCTTTAGTTTCAGTGGATAAATGTATTCACAATGATTTCTGAAAACATGATTAACTTGTTGTTTGTGGTTATGATAAGCATTCACCATTTTTTATTTTCAAAGTATCTAGGGCACTTGATACAGCAACATTGAAAATAAAACCATAATATGTGATAATCAAATTTGGGCAAGGCAGTCCAGTAATTGTTATCATGAACATGGATCAACACATTATGATGACATGTATCAACCACGTGAGCAATTTGTTTGATTTGCGTTTGACAAGAGTATTGCTTGACAGTGGTATAAGTATCAGTTCCAAAATGTTGCATCATAATAGACTAAAGAAGTTGTCATCCATATAGTATCTTGCCTTTATTGCAAGTCAGGTGAGCCTGAACACCTGATCCTGTTAGCCACCTTTTATGACAAGCATGGGTAGCTGAAGACCAACTCTAACCCAGATCTTCATATGGTTGGTGGCAATGAATGAGGCTACATCAACAATACAAAACTGCAATGTCAATATTGATGGTATACTGCTATGATTGAGGGTGTCTGTGATGTCAATATTGGTGGTTTACTGCTATGATTGAGGGTGTCTGTGATGTCAATATTGGTGGTTTACTGCTATGATTGAGGGTGTCTGTGATGCCAATATTGGTGGTTTACTGCTATGATTGAGGGTGTCTGTGATGTCAATATTGGTGGTTTACTGCTATGATTGAGGGTGTCTGTGATGTCAATATTGGTGGTATACTGCTATGAATGAGGTTTTTGGCAATGTCAATATTGATGGTATACTGCTATGAATGAGGTTTTTGGCGATGTCAATATTGGTGGTATACTGCTATGAATGATGTTGTCTGTGATGTCAATATTGATGGTATACTGCTATGAATGAGGGTTTCGGCGATGTCAATATTGGTGGTTTACTGCTATGATTGAGGGTGTCTAATGTCAATATTGGTGGTATACTGCTATGATTGAGGGTGTCTGTGATGTCAATATTGATGGTATACTGCTATGAATGAGGGTGTCTGTGATGTCAATATTGGTGGTATACTGCTATGAATGAGGGTGTCTGTGATGTCAATATTGGTGGTTGAGGGTGTCTGTACTGCTATGATGAGGGTGTCTGTGATGTCAATATTGGTGGTATACTGCTGCTATGATGAGGGTGTGAGGTCAATGTCTGTGATGTCAATATTGATGGTATACTGCTAAGTGAATGCTGTCAATATTGATACTGCTATGAATGATGTTGTCTGTGATGTCAATATTGGTGGTATACTGCTATGAATGAGGGTGTCTGTGATGTCAATATGGTGATATTGGTGGTATACTGCTATGATTGAGGGTGTCTAATGTCAATATTGGTGGTATACTACTATGATTGAGGGTGTCTGTGATGTCAATATTGATGGTATACTGCTATGAATGAGGGTGTCTGTGATGTCAATATTGGTGGTATACTGCTATGAATGATGTTGTCTGTGATGTCAATATTGGTGGTATACTGCTATGATTGAGGGTGTCTGTGATGTCAATATTGATGGTATACTGCTATGATTGAGGGTGTCTGTGATGTCAATATTGATGGTATACTGCTATGATTGAGGGTGTCTGTGATGTCAATATTGATGGTATACTGCTTTGATTGAGGGTGTCTGTGATGTCAATATTGGTGGCATACTGCTATGATTGAGGGTGTCTGTGATGTCAATATTGGTGGTATACTGCTATGAATGATGTTGTCTGTGATGTCAATATATTTGGTACACTGCTATGAATGATGTTTTCTGTGATGTCAATATTGATGGTATACTGCTATGAATGATGTTGTCTGTGATGTCAATATTCTTGGTATACTGCCATGATTGAGGGTGTCTGTGATGTCAATATTCTTGGTATACTGCCATGATTGAGGGTGTCTGTGATGTCAATATTGGTGGTATACTGCTATGAATGGTGGTATATTGGTGGTAAACTGCTATGAATGATGTTGTCTGTGATGTCAATATTGGTGGTATACTGCTATGAATGATGTTGTCTGTGATGTCAATATTGGTGGTATACTGCTATGAATGATGCCATCTGTGATGTCAATATCGGTGGTATACTGCTATGAATGATGTTGTCTGTGATGTCAATATTGATGGTATACTGCTATGAATGATGTTCTCTGTGATGTCAATATTGGTGGTATACTGCTATGAATGATGCCATCTGTGATGTCAATATCGGTGGTATACTGCTATGAATGATGTTGTCTGTGATGTCAATATTGATGGTATACTGCTATGAATGATGTTCTCTGTGATGTCAATATTGGTGGTATACTGCTATGAATGTTGATGTCTGTGATGTCAATATTGGTTGTATACTGCTATGCTTGAGGGTGTCTGTGATATCAATATTGGCGGTATACTGCTATGATTGAGGGTGTCTGTGATGTCTGACTGACTGACTGAGTTTGGTTTTATGCCGCTTTTAGCAATATTCCAGCAATATCACGGCGGGGGACACCAGAAATGGGCTTCACTCATTGTACCCATGTGGGGATTCGAACCCGGGTCTTCGGCGTGACGAGCCAACGCTTTAACCACTAGACTACCCCAATATTGCCCCTGTGATGTCATGTCATATGATGTCAATATTGATGGTATACTGCTATACTGCTATGAATGATGTTGATGGTATACTGCTATGATTGAGGGTGTCTGTGATGTCAATATTCTTGGTATACTGCTATGATTGAGGGTGTCTGTGATGTCAATATTGATGGTATACTGGTATGATTGAGGGTGTGATGTAACTATTGGCAAAATGCTGTAATAAAGTATTCTGTGTCTACAGAGAACCTGTGAATAAAAAATATTTGCATTTCGTTTTAACAAAGCAACCTCTGTCAATGTACAGAAAATTGGAGAATTAGTAATGAATGTTTTGAATAGACACCTTAGAATATCATTTCATCTCATATTAACCTCATCTGAGTGTCTGGAAACTGTATTTGCAGCATTCCAGCAGCATGGATGAGGAAGGAGAGGAGGAGGACGACTTATCCAGTTTGTCCGAGGCTTCATCGAGTGAAGACTCGGCAGACAGTGAGAAGGAGGACAAAGATGATGATCAGGGACTGGTCAGCACAAGAGAAGAGAAGAAACACAGAGTGAGGCGCAGAGCACTAGTCTTTGTAGATTTATCTAAAGTGGTTTAAGTTTGTTGTTAATCATGATTCATTGGTCTGTCCTGAGACTGTCATTCAGACACACTGAGAGGATTATGCAGAGATGCCAACTCATATGATTTTATCGTATTCGTTACGAAAAAACAACACAAAATATTTGACCACGATAGTAGTAAAAATATACGATTTTTAAAAAAAATACATTAAATTATCGTACCATACACAATAAATTGCAACCACATGTTATTCCGCATCAAGCTGTATGTGGATACTTACTACTGATTTAGGTGAGTACAATGTTAATAACAAGTTCTTAGAATATCTATATATTAAATATATGAAATATGAAAATTCTTTGGAAAGGTTAATACTAATTTTTGCCAAAATACTAATCAGGCTAAATTAGGGTTGGCATTTCTGATTATATAACATTTTAAGAACTTCATTGTGTGGTGTCTTGATGAAATGTACCGGTATGTCCACTTGTCAGTCCTTGTGGTACAACATGGCTGCTACATTTGAGTGTAGGCACTGTAACAACCAACAAGGAGATTTATGTAATGAAAGTGGTGCAGGATGAGTGAATGTTGTAAAATGCTGTAGTCAGGGGTATTCTAGTTTTGTCACAGTTGCCTTGGAAACCATTGGTCGATAGCATGAGCAAACCTTCCCAGTATCAGGGCACAGTGACACACAGCTAGAAGTCCCCATTTGTCTTTAACTGAAGTGATCTAGGCAGACATGATGAACTGACAGTAATGATTTGTTTGAGCGAGTATAGTTCTGCACCACTTTTACCAATATCATGGTGTGGAAAACAGAAATGGGCATTACACATTGTACCCATGTGGGCAATTGAACCCAGGTATGCATTGAAGTGAACGATTCAACCAATGGGCTACTCCACTGCTATTTGTTTGCATTGATACAATGTTGTTTTGTTATAGGGAGGACGCAAGAAGGGCCAGTCATATCGGAGCAGCTATGACATAGAAACACTGAAGGCTGCTTACGCTGCTGTTGTGGAGGATGGGATGGCTGTGTATGCTGCATCCAAGAAGTTCAAGGTCCCTCAGAGCACTCTCAGAGATCGGGTCCTGGGTCGAATATCAGCAGACGTCACAACATCAGGACCCCCAACAATCTTCACAGCGGAGGAGGAAGCTGGCATTGCCAACTATGTCAAATTGTTTGCTGATATCGGGCATCCTTTATCGAGAAACAAAGTTCGGCAGATGGCTGGAGAGTTGGCTGCACAGTTACAGCGCCGCGGGTTTAGCGACGGAAAAATACTCAGTTTGAGATGGTACTACAAACTCATGGACAGATTCCCAAACACACAGACTCAGAAATTTTCCAATTCCAAGTTACAGGAGATAGGGTATGGTTATTACAAGAAACTTTCTGAGATTATTGAAGACTATGGTTTAGAAGATGCACCGAAACGTGTTTTCAGTCTTGATGAGATCTGTGTAAGAACAGAGGAGTCATCACTGAAGATGATTTGTCGCAATGTGTCTGACGAGAATGCTGACATTGCTGTTGTGTGCAAAGATGATGCAAGGATCACCTTCCTCGGTTGTGCAAGTGCAAGTGGGAAAAAGGTTCCACCTTGTTTTGTATTTGCATCAAACAGTGATAACCCAAGTCGTAAAACAGTCAGTAAAATTCAACATGGTGCTGTGGTGAAGTATTCCGCTACAGGAGAGTGCACCTCACAAATTCTCAAAGAATACTTTGAATCTCACTTCAGCCAGTTTGTGAAGGTTGGGCCCAAGTCAAAGAAGCACATCCTGTTCTACAACAGTCGACGTGTGTGTATTCCCTTGATTCTGTGGCTGTGGAGCGAGAGCCACAACGTAACGTTCTTCCCCTTACCCCTACACAGAGGACCAAGTAAAGACCCCGTGACTCTCAGGTCCACAGGCTGTCTGTATGGTGTGTCACATTCATATGAAATGGAGCAGAAGCAGTTTGAAGACAAGAATCCAGACATCAAGTTCACCAGTTCTGATGCGTGCAAGATCCTGAGTCGGATTTACTCAGGTCTGACAGTCTCCCACTTCGAGCATATGTTCCGGCTTATGGGCGTCTTCCCTCTACCAGACAGAAACCCTGGGATGGTCAGGTTTGACAAAATAGTGGAAGATATGAAACACGATGGTAAACAGAAGAGGAGGCGTGCTAAGAAAAAAACTATTGCTTTGAATACTGAAGCTAGTCCTCCAGTCAAGAAGCGACGAAAATCTAAAGTGAAAGTCAAGCCTCGTCCTATTATCAGTCCAGTCACCATGAAGAAGGGCGTGAAGGTCACAGACAGGATCAGGCATTCGGTGCCCGTGGACTGGAGTGGAATCATTGCTCCAGATGAGATTATTTCTGTGCCGGTTGTGTCTGGTGGTGCTGGGGATGAAGGTGTCATGGATGACGAGGGCAGTACTGTGCTGGCTGCTACTGCTGGTGCCCATTATAGGTTACAGGGCATTGAAAACGGAGTGACACTTGAGCCAGATGTAGATGGAGGTGGGTCTCCACAAACATATCATGTGTACATCCAAGGTGCTGAATGTGTAACACAGGGAGCAGACATTGACACAGACAACATTGTGGTGGCAGAAGAGGTGGTGATTGTAAATACGGTTGAAGATGTTTAGATGGGTGTGGTTCGGTGTCATCCTCTACCAGATCCCCATGCTCTAACAGCTCTGAAGTCTGCTGCCACAGCCATTTCTTCATGAGCCAGATCATCGAAAGCTGGATTTGTTAAGACCATACAAGGTTGACTGTCATGTTGTCAGATAAAAGTTAAGAACGTGTTACCAGTATTGATGTTCTATTTGACATTGCTTGCATTACAGATGAAAGAAGATTCACAGAGTGAGGTTGGTATACAAGAGTTATATATGCGGCCAAATTCTTTACAAATACAGGACGGTGAGGTAGCCTAGTTGTTAAAGCATTCGCTCATCATGCCGAGGACCCGGGACTGTGTTAAGCCCATTTCTGGTGTTCCCCGCCATGATATTGCTAAAAGCATCATAAAACCATACTCACTAACTCACTCACTTTAGAAATGCAACATTTGTGCAGTAAAAGCCTATTACTCTGGACAGGTCCATTCCCGGGGAAATTACCAGGTGTAGCAAACTTCCAGTCATTTCGAGACATTGGTAACTTGTAGTCAGTGCTTCGTGAGGTACTTTCCTTTAGGGTTTTATGTACGTTTTACCATATAGTTTATTCCTTGGCTGAAGTCTATTGGGTATTAAAGATCAATAAAACAACAACAAACATTTCAGGTGGCACCGCATCTATTCATGTGCTTACCAGTGTGTCCAAATGTGTGTCACATGTTACACAAACTCCCTACAGTGATGTACGTCTCACTTACAATAAGATGTAGTACTTTTGTGAATTATTTCACTGCAGTAGAGTTCAAGTGTTTGATTCCTACATTTGATTAGCAACTAAAGATGTGTGAAGAACTACATGTATGCAAGCTGAAATGGCCCTATTTTTTCATGCATGTGTTGAAGGCAAACATTTTGTTGAGTAACAGTAAATTTATATGCATATTTTATGCACATTTGCAGCTTAGTCTGATATTCCCATAAGTATTCGTTTAGAAGATAGGTTACAGATCAACACTGTCCAGATTAACACGGTTTCAGTGTACACAACTGTAACAGGTTGGTCCCTAGTTTGTCTCACATTCCCTGAACCACATTATTTTCTCTACTGCCTGGCCCTCCCTGCAATGCTAAAGCCCTAAATGAAGCAAGTCTAGATTTCCTCAGGTTCTGAATCTCTGGTCTCCCTGGGGCTCCTTTTCAATTTAAATGGGCTTGTTTGTTACTATCAAAATTATATATATTCAGAGACTAAGCATTAGTCTAGTTGGTCCCTATAGGAGCTCACTGTGGGCTGCTAGAGGTAGATCAGCATTGTAGTGAGGTACACGCTCAAGTAGCTGCTGTAAGCTCTGTGCTGCTCAGGTTGGTGGGTAGCTTAGTGGTTAAAGCACTTGCTTGTAAGATCTGGGTTCGATTCTCCATATGGGTACAATGTGTGAAACCTATTTCTGGTTTCACCCATCACAGCATTTCTGGAATATTGCATAAAACCAAAATCACTCATTCACTCTGTGTTTCTCCCTTAAAACAAATTTATCACTGAAGCTGAGATTGACTTTGAATTTCATTTTGATTTTAAACTAAGTCCAACTCCCTGTCAATCCTGTCTTTATACTGGTATTTTCCTGTCGATGAAAAGTTTATGTAGCTATTGTTATATACCGTCTTCTAAATTTTACACCACCACCACACCCCACATGATAAGCGTAGCAAACATTTTTACCACTCTATGTAATCTTTACATATTTCCGAGGGGTTGATATGACACTCAGAGCTTTTTTCTATGTTAAAGATGTTTTATTAAAAATAAAGCAGTGTAGAAAGGGTATATAATTCAGTAGTAACTATTATCGAGAAAGGTTTACAGTTTAAAGTGGGGGTCTGTTATCCTAGTGGTGAGAGTGTTTACTCATCACACTGAAGACCAGGGGTTTGATTCCCCATGGGTACAGTGTGTGAAACCTATTTCTGGTGTCCTTTACTGTGATTTTGCTGGAATATTGCTAAATCGGTGTAAACCATACTCACTTATTCATAGATTCAAGGACATTTAAGTGGTGTTCTTTACCAGCCAATCTCTGATGACAAATATACATGTATGTATGTATAAATAAGCAGGTCCCTTGTGTAGAGTTTCCATGTGTCTAGGGTGCTCACTACAGCAAATACGGTATGTGACTTTCACCAAGTTTGGCCAGAATTACATACCTGAATATGAAGATGAGGAACAGATGGAGTGGACATCCCGTATGTTGTGTAGTCAGTACAGACAGGGTCCCACATCTCCATCATGCTGCTGTCAAATGTTTGAGACATATGTACAGGAAATATTCAGTGTAATACATAATGCATTGAGTGAGTGAGTGAGTGAGTGAGTTAATATTTATCGTCACATCGGCAATATTTCAGCCATATCGTGACGAGAACAGTATATAATTATATTATAGATCAATAAAGTAGGACATTAAAAGACCTGTTGACGAAGAACAGTAAAACTACTAGTGTAATGCATTGAGATGTATGAAAACGTGAATGTTAGATTGTTACTGGCAGTGTATGAAATAAGGCCCGTCCGACCCCCTGAGACAGTCTAGATTTCTGACGAATGGTCTAATTTACAGCTAGCCAAACCAATGGTCTGGTAAAACTTTTTAGATGTTCCATACATCTGAGAAATTCACCATATTTGGTCTGGTTAAATCCATTTGGGGCTGGTAACATTTTGAAGTTACCAGCCCTGATGTCTGGCTGGATTTATGCACTGTTACAGGCATGGATGGGTCAGTAGGGATGAGCTGACAAAGTGTATTTACTCCAGTTTAGACATGATTCATGTCTGTTATTGTCAGACGTAAGATCCTGTATTTCCTGTTTATCTTGTAATGACCTAGACTGCAACATCACACTCAGTATCAGAGAGAGAGCAGCACAAACCTGTTGCTGGGACAGGTCTCTGTCAACAGTGCATGCTCTGCTGTGTTCAAGGCATATCTACAAGGCGTTCAACTGGGTGGGACTTGAATATTTGAATATTTTTTCTGATCTCAAAAATGCCTTTGATAACTGAGATCTCAAAAATACCTTTGATAACTGAAGGTTGACATTTTTGTAGTCTTATTGATCTTGTCTGTACTAAATGAAAGCTTGTTTATTTCATTTCATGAAACATGACATCAACAGAGAGGTCATGGTTTGAAGATCATGATTATTTCATTCACTGATCCATAAAACATTTTTCTCGATGGATGAAAGTGTGCAGACATATCTTTGTATAAATGCACAAAGCCAAATCCAGATTCTCCAGTTTTCCTCCATGGAAACGGCCCCCGTTGCTCCAGAGGAAACCTGTTTCTGAAGTTGTTTCAAAATTAGTCATTTCAAGATGTATGGAATTCACCTTGTTCACTACAGTTAAATGTGTGCTACCATGATTATTGCCTGTTTGTTTTTGTTTGTTTAAATAACATATTGTGTTCATAGAATTTTCCTGAAGATAAAATAGTTGTATTTTTAAATGATACTTCCAATGAAATCCAGTCCGGTCAAGTAAACAAGAAAAAATATTGACTGGCCAAATTGTTGATTTAATACATGTCATTCTGGTTAATGCTAACTTCTGAATCACCAGCCAGACTGAATACTTTAAGAAAACATTTAGGGCTCAACAGTACTACAACTCTCAGACTGGCAACCCACAATGACAGCAGTGTCAAGTACAAGCTAGTCTGACAGCCTGAGAAAACAAAAGTGTCCTGACAACTAAAATTACAAGCTAGTCTGACAGCCTGAGAAAACAAAAGTGTGCTGACAACTAAAATTCCAGTGTTGGAAGTTGTCAGTGGTTAGTACTCTGATATCTGATTGTTGAAATACTAGTTCTCAGTACTTTGACTTAAGTACATGTCAACCTGGCAGGACTAGTTAAAGTTCTGTGTGGGTCCTCTGGACAGTGTTTAAACTTATTTCTCGGACATGTCTTTCAACAGTTCATCTAATGGTATTTCACCTTGTAACGTTCTATCTTCCTCAATTTATTATAGCTTATATTTAGATATCCACACGTCCTTGGTTGAAAATCTGCTATATAGTAAAATGCAAACAGTGGAATCATTCGCTGTGTAGGAATCTAATGCAAGTAAATGTCATTAAATTGTTTTGTCAGTTTACCATCATGAGGTTAGAAGTCAGCTGTGTGCCAGGTTGATGTGCCAGGCAAAGGCTGCATGAAGGAGAATGATCTTGTCAGTTATCTGAAGCAATGCCAAACTGTATGTGAATTAAACAGTTATGTATCAGTGAGTTTTTGTTATACTGTTGTGAGTTTCAGGTGAATAGAATAACGGCTGTTGTTTGACACAGCTCTCAACAAATTCAAGGTGTATATTATATGACAGTGGTCTGTGAATAATCAAGCCTGGAACAGAAATCTAGTGATGAATATGAGCAGCATTCCATGCCATCAGGGTCTTGTAACTATCAGACCTTTGTTGCCCCTCACAACTACCATAGGTTGGTGGGGAACTCTTCTAACCTGGAAGCTTTTGTGATTACTGATTATAAAATGATGAGTGGATTCCTGCTTTGATCCAGTTAAAGAACATTTCCTCTTATTGATTGAGGGAGGATCTAACGGTTGCACTTGCTCTTTTGGTGAAACCCATGAGCCGATACAGTAAACTACGTTAATAATGAACTGGTTTTTGGCCTTGACCACCTGCTGTATATTTCAGTCGAAATGCTTACAATGAACTACTGGTATAACAAGTCAAGTAATAACCATAGTTGACTGTATATGACTACGACAAAAGATCGAGATTTGGGTGAATGTGGAATTGGAACAAACAGTAAGCAGATCTTGGCCAATCTGAGGTAAACAACCATGCATGGAGAATTGTGGTGTCTATCACCACTGGACCACTTGTGATACCCAAGAAAATTGTCCAGTCAGAGCTAAAGGCACTGGTCCAACAAGCACTTGTCATTTTGACAATACACGTCATACAACTAGGACACTCAAGCTCCATGTACATTGTGATTTACACAGCGTCCAGTGGCTTGAGCCTTGAGTGAAAAATGTAATCTGTCACTTGTGTATCTCTTTATGTTCAGATTTCCTATTTGTGGAACTAAAGCATATTAAGCTAAGTAAAAGATTTGTGACAGTATTACATAAGGATAAAACCTAACAGTTGCGAGAACAATCGGCGTTAGATTTACTCTGCCCTTTGTTCTTTGAACTGAGCCTACATTCACTCCCCACCTCACCAGAAGACCGCCTCCCGTGGTGTCGTGGTTAGAGTGTCCGCCCGGAGAGCGGAAGGTCGCGGGTTAGATCGCCGACCGCATCATACCAAAAGACGTTAAAATATGGTACTTGTTGGTCCCTGCCTGGCGCTCGGTATTAATGGGTACAACAAAGACTGGTCGACTCGGAGTCAGTATAATGTGTCTGAGTGGGGTATTCATGCTTCACTGCGGCATGGTATCTCAGTGGGCTAGCACTATAAAACCAGCTTCAGTCTGGGCTAGTACAAGCAGCCGCACATACACATACACACGCATGCACGTCGTCATATGCGCGAAATATTCTCAAGCACGACGTTAAACCCACTTTCACCTCACCAGAAATTACTGTCTAATTTAACTACCCAAAATAACTGCAGGTTATATGAAGTCCCAATTAAACACAAACTGTCATGTATGTCACATTTTTATTTAATTTAGCTGAGGATCAGCAACACATGTAAAATACAGAAAGTACACTGGCATGTAGATGAACCTGTGTCTGTTCTGTGATGGACTAACAGTGAGCATGGACTAGGGTACGTGGAGAAACCTTTAGATGGAAAAAAAGGGATTAGAAATTAAATTTAATTATTGAACTAAATGAAATGTACAAGCATATAAAATAGTTCACACTGATTACATTTACATTAATATATAATTGTAAAGAGAAAACTAGGCATGGATTATGCTGATTGAGAGATTGCAATGTTGCGTAAGTGAACAATCACTGTTGCCAGTAAGTTTTCATGGCGTCAATACTGATTAGCTGTCACTAGTCATTGAAGTAAGATCTTAGTCCTTGCTACTGCATTACAGGTGATGTCAGAACGACCTTTCACCAATACAAGTATCAGTAAGAGTTCCTTACGTACCCCCCACCTAATTGTTAACTATAAACTATAGACTAAACCATAGTATTTGCTCATAACAAAAATGAGCGGGGGGCATGTAAGGAAATCTTTCCCGAGTATCACTCACTAAATCAGGAAAGAGGCTGCTGGAACGTGTTTTCTGTTCATGCAACATCTGAAAGATCAACCAGACAGTCGCAGGCTTCATGACGGATTCCTTCAAAAGCATCATCAATCTGTCCCATCAATAAGATAAACGTTTAAACAGAGGCAGCTTTGCATAAGCCTTGGGAAGTACAGTCATCCATCCCATTGTGACCATCTCTTTCAGAATATTCTTTTGTTCCCTTTTCAAATGTGACAAGATCTTTGACAGTATATATTGTAAAAGGGTAGTCTGGAAGTGGCCAGTTTTGTGCTATTTGTTTTCTGACTGATATCAACATCTTGTTAGTTGTTTCATTCATAGGTCAGCGATTGTGAAAGATTGATCTGATGTGACCGGTCATTGTTATATAATTCGCAGTAACAAGAACTCAGATTTTGATTCTGATCATTGCTGTAGTAATGGTCAGGTGTTAAGTGTGACAAGTGGATGCTGTAAGCCGAGAGCTACCTCAGTTCCTCAAGTGCTTTGAGTAGTATATGTCCTTATAAACTAAGTAATAAGGAAGAGACAGATTAACTGAGATATATTAGTACATAACTGCAAACATTTACACAATTTTCAATATGTATATCAAAGTCACGTCAGAGCATGTGAAGAACATGGATATTCAACTAGCACAACATAAACCTAAAATAAATAATAAGGCATATTCAGCAGATATAGAGCCAGGTTGATGCTGCTATCTCTAGAAACAAACCAGGGAGTGGTCTTGACAGCAGCACATTATAAATATTTTCTGTGATTCTTATCACATAAATTAAAAAAAGCCTCTAAAATCTTATAATTTTAAAAATAATGTCAACTTAATTATACCAACATAGAACTTGGTGTCCGATCACATTTCTCTTTTAATTTAATTTTTTTAACAATAAGTTGGCATCTAATTTAAATGATCATTCATGCTGAACCACAAAATGCATGCAGACTACTGTTCCCGCGATCTTTGTTCTGAATGCAGCTAATGCCTATCAAAATAGGTTGCGATCTTTGATCGGAACGCAGCTATTGCCTATTAAAATAGGCTGACGCTATCACCTGGCTTATGATGAGTTGTATACTATTCAACTTTAGACAGGGATCGTTAAATATGTCACTCCACTTAAATATACACTTGACATATTATGAGGAATCAGTTTGGTGTAATATGGAGAGACATAAATATTACTATCAAAAGTGGAGCAGTATATATTGCATGTATGCCATGCCTCTCATTTTCCTCTGCATTCAGAGGCCATGAAGAATATAAAACCAAAAAATACTGGACTAATATCCATACCCCTGGAAGAACTGACACACTCAAATAATTAACTACAACAAAACAATACCATAAAGGAAACTGCAAGTTACCACGGCAACTGGTATATAGTCCTTAAATCAAACACTCAATGATATATATGTATAACTGACAGTTCGAGTTCTGTAAATGCATGGTATCCATGGTACTGCACCAACAACGCGGAATCTCAGAAGGTAAACTTAACTTGATTGCATGTAAAACATTATGGTGGACACAAACACTCAGCTGGAGGAGCCTCCTGTCGTCTTATTTAATTCCAAAATACAACCTTATACAAAATGGTGGACGAAAATGCATCAAGTTTACTGCCGCTTCTTTTAAAGGTCAAATAACAGAACAGCATTGGAAATTAAGAACAGTCTTAACACACTGTAGAGCTAACACACTGTATTCATGTGGTGAACTGAAAGAGTTTCATGAATTAAATATATTAAGTGAGCAAGTATGTTGGGATTAATGCTGCTTTCAATAGTATTCCAGTTATATCACAGCTCGTCAACCTAATGTGGCAGCTAAGCCAGAAGTGGTGTAACAGAAGAGGGAACCTGGGATTCTTACCCACATTGAAAGGTTTCTGTCATACCCAAGGGATGCAACTCAGCAGAGTGCCTAACATAGTGGGGCCACCTACAGGTCAAGGATTCAACAAATGGGCTTCATCCTGACTCCTCACACAAAGGGAGACCACTCCTACGCATATACTATAACACATGGTAGAGAGTAGTAACATTAATGAATCTTGGTGGGATACAAAACATACTGCTCCTCATAATACATATTCAGAGTCAGGTACTTTGGTATTAGTTTTTGGTTCAGTGTCCATTATTTTCATATTTCAATCTGTTGTACTAGACATCTTTTACGTCTTGTTCTATCAAAGATGGCTCCTTCAGAGTTTTGTTTTACTAGATGTAATTTCCAATTCGGTACCAAAACATTAGTTTAAATCTGAACATTACATTTGTAGCATGTCTTTTGCCTCTCCCAATGTATTTGAAACAAACATAGTCTCAAAAATACATCCTTCAAACTTGGCTGGTGGATTATACCATTACATACATTAGCGCCTCCAATGTCTATGGTATATCTGTTCCTTTGTAGTCTGACTAACCATAATTTGAAAAATAAGTCACGTTAGACACAACAAAATTGTCCTAGCTACCTTTCTTTGGTACAAATGTAAAACTGTACGGCAAGATTCTACAACAAAAACAAAACAGGTGCCATTACCCATCCTCTGAGTAAATATCCCTTCATCTTTTAGTCATGATAACAGGGTCTGTTGGAATCAACTGAGACATTGAAACCAAAGTGGCAGAGAGCTCAACAGGCAAGTCAAGCAGGCAGCACTTGTTGGTATGGATTGAATGGAACTGGAACGTCTAATAATCCTAAGACTGTTATTACATGGCACAAGCTCATATTTTGGCCACCTCGTCAACCTGTGCCAGGACAGCCTCCGTCTCAAAGCTGCCCACAGAGTGCTTTGACAAAATCCTAAGCAATGGCCGTACTTTCATCCACCATTCTTCTTTGGGGATTCTCTTACTGCAAGTAAAAATATTTTAACTTATTGGTCCATTGTCCTTCTTTGGCTCTAACTAATGAAACTGTTAGATAGACACTGCTATTGGAACCTCTTTGTAGGTGATGATCAATCTCCTGCCATAAAATTCCCACAGATCAGTGTTGATGACGTTTCAGCTGAACATGGCATACTGAGCAATCATTTTAGGAATGGCTACATGGTTGGACATACATGTCATCTTACACATGCCAAGTTCAGCTGCTGGCACTGTGTTCCTGTGATTTAGTGAGTGAGTTTAGTTTTACGCCACACTCCGCAATATTCCAGCTATATGGCAGCGGTCTGTAAATAATGGAGTCTGGACCAGACAATCCAGTGATCAACAGCATGATTTAGTACTCTCTGATTGTCTAATCAATATCAAGTATTCCAAAAGAATCTCCATTACAAATTCAGTTCCTTCTATGCAACAGCAGATTACAGATGTGAAAGAACACAACATATCCGCCCCTTCCCAAAGTATGTCATGATCTCTCCACAAATACATCTTCCATTACGTGAAACATCCTCCTGGTCCCGTCAGTCTCCCTGGATGTCAGTTGTGCTTGCATACTTACTCAAAGTTGGTTTCACTGGAGAGCTCCTGTACTGGGGAGAAGGTGAGGAACCTCCTGGTCATCCCTAGCAGGACAGCACCATCCGGAGTTTTCGACACAACACGACCTGGGGATGAAACAGCCTTCCTTCAACCTCAGAGGCATATCAAGGCAACAGGTTCACACAGTCATATTGCTTGGGAGTTCCATTATTATAACTGTAATCAAATTATGTTATTCATGCACAATAATGACTTAATCATTTCCTTTTATTGTCCTTGATATATCATGTGACTAGCAACAGGCCAGGGTATTCCTGTGGGTACGCATCCTTATTCAGAACCATACAACCCAAGATAACTATCTCAGTTCTACCTGACCTGTTGTCTTCCTTTCCACCCAGCCTATCACAGTGAGGAAACGAACATAGGCCTCGATGTGACAAACACTTTAAGCACAAGGCCACTTGACCATCCTACTTGACTGTTGTGAATATGACTGACTAGTGGAGATCCTTGAGAGCTTCAGCCCAGCAATTGCTGCAAGGAATCTCATCTCTTTGACACTTACCGTCATCCTGCACCGAGCTTTCCACCTTGTTGATGAGCCAGTCTACAGCCTTGGCAGCCATCTTGGTGCCGTAGTTCCTGTCGAAGGGACTGGGCATGCCTCCCTGTTGCATGTGGCCCAGCACGTTGGTGCGGCAGGTGAACACGCCCTTGCCTTCCTCCGCAAACAGGTTGTGTATAAACTCAGTTGTGTAGTTATTGTTGGCATTCTCATTTCTACAATTAAAATGTCCAATTACATTGTAAAATATGACAAATGTGATAGTGCTGCAAATGGTAACTCCCATGTATAATCCGAGAATGAAACCTAACAGTACCTGTGAACATACAGGCAAAGCAGGCAAAGCTGATAAGAAGCATGAGCAATGATCCTGCAAAGTGGTCGAAGTGACTCACAAGCAGTTACGTCACTGAGCCTAGATTCTCCTTCGTTAGTTCTCCAAACAAGCATTAGATAGCCTATTCTTTAAACTGAGTTGTGGTCACAACTGCACAACTATTGTACATTAAATAGGGGATATCTGACCAGATACATATTTTACACTAATTCACACAAGAAATTACTATCGTAAGTGGATGAATACATACCTGAGGATGAGGCCTCTTTGGACACCAGCATTTAGAATTTTATCTTTAAGATGGTTTACGTCATTCTGCAAATATATTGAACCACATTTAGTACCTACAGACATTCATACCCATTGGTTCAAAAAGATCCTACATCTCAGAGCATATCCCCAAATACCTAAACTTCTTACCCTCCACAGGTAGTGCACAGTGATTACATTGTTATAGTGAGTAATTCAGGACAGCCATTGTCCAAATATTTAAAAAAGTCCCAAAACTATGTAGTCAAGAAATATGATTAATGGTAATTATTTAATCTGAATTCTTAATCGTTATCACTTGTCTTGTCAGCCACCCTGTATCACTGTCACTTTCATTAATTATTGTATATGACATTTATTGCCTAAATTGGTCATTCCCCATAGCAACATCATAAAACACAAAATGGGAAATGCATGTAGTCTAGATGCTCTGATCAATCATAATTGTGTTTCAAAATTGTTGCCAGTAATACAAGGGATTATTAGTCCTTCAACCAAAAGCCTTGAGCCAGTCTCATACATTCTTATCCCACTGCATGTTTACAGTATCCTTGTCATGCAGTACAAGTAACAACAGCTAAATAAACACACGCAAAACATTGTTTCCAGTACCAATAGCTGGCTGATTGGACTTTTTAGTACATAACATGCCTCTGGGATCAAGCTGAGACATATTATGTAAAATAAATTACTTTCATTTTCACTTTTAATAAAAGTAAACTATTATGGTGTGTACGGATTAATGCAACAAGAATTGTTTGTCAATCCATGTTGTCCTTTCATCATTATTTGGACAATGTCCCCATAATTTAAAGCTGCATTGATTATAACTGTGTCAACAGTGCAAATGTTCCTTACCCTCAAATCAGTGATAGAAAACTTTTCTTCATATATATAAGCAGCATCTGCTCCACCTGCCAGACCACTCATGGTTGCTAGGTAACCACAGTAGCCACCCATCGTCTCAACAATAAACACACGCCTCTTGGTGCCAGTAGCAGATTGCTTGATTCTATCACAGATCTGACAACGAACAGGACCTGGTTAGTTAAGGTAACAGCTCAGATGCTTGATGGGCATTTATAAGTTGGGAGGAAACACAACAACGTATGGTATGGATTTACAACTTTTTCAATATTTACAACACGACGTTTCTGGGCTACTTCTTGCCCCTTCATCAAGTGAAGGTAACAGCTGTTGAAGCTTGAATACAGATACCTTTTGCTGTTTAATAAGGATTGTATACAAGATCCGTCCTTAGTAAAAGTTTTATTAGTTTCTCAGACTTTATTTTTAACTACCACACTAAAACAACAGCAGGTTTAAGGGGCTTGTCCACCACAAAATAACTTGGAACTATATGCTACCATACATAAACATCAATTTTAGTTTCCGAAATTTAAGTTTCTGAAATAAGTTGAAAACATTGAACACTTACATCAGTGATTTCATTTAGGGCAGTGTCGGCCCCAAGACTGAAGTCGGTGCCGGGCACGTTGTTGCTGATGGTGCAGGGGATGACAACGATGGGGATGCACATAGCTGGGTACTGAGGTCTGGCCTCTGCTATCTGTAGGGCACTGTGATAGGCCTGAAACCAAACACAGTTCTTACACACTGCAGTACAGGTTCAGGCAGTATTTAGGTACGTTAAGCATGACAACTTCTTCGTCATATTATGATGCGATGGTATTGATTTTTATACTGTTGTCTATGCAGCACTCAAGTACTGCAGCACACAACAGACTTTCATATATCTAACAGGAATTAACCCCAAAAACCCAGGTAAGTAGATTAAGGTCATAATACATTGATTAGATTTTCTTAAGCAAAGTTAAGAGTGAGTGAGTGAGTGAGCTTAGTTTTACGCCGCACTCAGAAACCGGTCTGTAATTAATCCAGTCTTGACCAGACAATCCAGTGATCAAACAGCATGAGCATTGACCTGTGCAATAATTGGGAACCGATGACATGTGTCAACCAAGCCAGCGAGCCTGACCACCTGATCCCGTTAGTCTCCTCTTACGACAAGCATGGGTTACTGAAGGTTCATTCTAACTTAGACCTTCATGGGTCGCAAAGTTCAGAAGAATCAAAACACAAACAGTTGCTGCTTCTATCAATCCTTAACATAGTCCAAGTTCTTGGGTGGTATACTTCTACAAGGCTTAAATGTATGCAAACATATGAAAACTAGATTTCCTTAAAATCATTAAGATATAATTATGTCCTTGCAGGTGACTGCAGTCATCTCTTCCATTGTCTGATTATTGTTTGTTTGTTTGTTGTCTTCCACCATAGTCAATAATACATTAATATATCACAAGTGAAAATATCAACGGCCCCTACCATTGGTATGATGGCACACAATCACCCACATCACTACCTGAAACAAATTAGTCGCCTCTTGGACAAGCAATTAAGTGCTGTGGACCTATTCTAAACTTGGTCCCTTTGGTACATCAGATGTTACAAGACATTATTTCTTCATTAGTACCTCAAAGCCTCCAATAATACACAACCCAACGATTTTGTGTTCATGAAGTTTCTCTGCTATTCTTCCAAGGCCGACTTCTATAGTAGTTTGTCTGGAACAAAAAGGTAACTGAGTGACATAGTCAGCAATGATATCACACCATCGTTTATGGTTTTGAGCAAGGCTGATAAAAAATAACATTCTTCAGATCATGAGTATGAAAGAAGCAGTTGGCGGAAATTATTCTCTAATACAGCTCCAAACAGCAGATGCCGCAGTGAGTTGAAAAGGGGTTGTATATTGCGTCCAAGACTGTGCACTTGAACAGTGAGGAGATTGCTATTTTTGTTTATTCTGTTAAGGCAGAGAGCATGCTCGGTAACAACAAGTACCACCTTTTAATGTGCTATGGAATGATGGGGCCGTGGAATTGTGCTGGGCTGATGCTCAATGCATCACTATTGTGAGTGAGTGAATAAAGTTTAAGCCACAGGCAGTATTATTCCAGTTAAACCACATCAGTCTGTAAATGATGTCTTAAAACAGCCAAACACTGCAATGAAACAGCAATGATCCCAGCCTTCAGAAACTGATCCATTACAGAGGACAGTTAAAAGCATAGGATGTTCATGTTCATTTCAACCCTTGAGTGAGTGAGTGAGTGAATGAGTGAGTTTTACACCCCTTTTAGCAATATTCCAGCAACATTACGGTGGAGGACACCAGGAATGGGCTTCACTCATCGTACCCATTTGTGGAATAAAACCTGGGTATTCGGCGTGATGAGCGAACGCTTTAACCACTAGGCTACCCCACCGCCCCTTTCAACCCTGGAATCCAACTCAAAGTTCACTGGACTTACTTCTTTGTCCCCAGAAGAGATCCACCCTTTCCAGCCCAGCCCTGCACCTGGTTCCATCCAATGTGATGCACCTAGAAGGAGGAACAGTGCACCCTTATCATTCTTCATTCAGCTGATCTTTCTTATTCAACCACCAATAAAAATTAGGTGTTGGCAAGTGCTTGCCTAAACAGGAGCAGTCCCTTCTCTGCTGTTATCAATGCCCTGAAAATTACACACCTACACTCTGACATGTCCAGTGCACAGTTACACAAGCAGTCATGACAGTACCACTGTCATAAGTCTTGGTTAAACATGTGAGTTGTGACTGCATTAGTGTTATAACTTTGTAGAAAGGGGCACAGTCCTTGACAAAGCTGAGTGAGTTAGTGGGTTTAGTTTTACGCACACTCAGCAATATTCCAGCTATATGGCGGCAGTCTGTAAAAATCGAGTCTGGACCAAACAATCCAGGGATCAACAGCATGAGCATCGATATGCGCAATTGGGAACCGATGACATGAAAACAAAGTCAGCGAGCCTGACCACCCGATCCCGTTAGTCGCCTCTTACGAAAAGCATAGGTTACTGAAGTCATTCTGTTTTGTTGGTCTGACAATCATCAATTGAGCCTGAGCCCATAAACCTTTCTGAGTCGGGACTTGGTTATTACTCGCCACTGGCTTCAGGCAAGTTGTTGATAGCTTCACATTATATACAAGTTTGGGAGTTAATATTATATAATGGCATACATTCTGAAATTGATATCAGCATGCAGTATTAACATGTACCAGTATGAATATTTCAAAATTACAACTAATCTCTATTATTGTAGACAAAAATGGTGTACGTGAGTTGTCTCCCTTCCGCTTCACCAGCCTCTCATAGGTTCCACTACACTAAATCAGAATCACATGCTCCCTGAGCGAGAACCGTATGTAAACAACTGAAGAGAGAGAGACATGTGACAGCTGTGATTGGATGAAATAGTGTGAGATGTGTATGCTTTTTAAAAGCACATCCATACAGTAATTAAAACTGACCACAATTTTAAGTATTTAGTGCTGTCTTTTTTATCACCATCACTTATGCTTATTGTGTGTACAGATATTTTCCAGTAGGTGACATTTGGTGCGGAACTGGGGTTGATGAGTTCCGCTTCCTGTGCTGGGAAAATGAGCTGGACAATTTGGCCAGAAATTGTGTTTTATTGTAGTTTAAAGGCCTGACTGTACCCATGTGTACCTGGAATGGCTGTTGATAGCCTGGATAATTTAAAAAATAAACGGTTACTATAGAAGTCTATGGGAAAACATTTGGTGTTGTGTAACCTCATACTGTGATATGAGCAGAACATGATAGGGTTGAGTTATCTCCCTTTTACCACCAGAAACAGCATCATTCTGTGGTCAAGATGTTTCATACAGAGTTATCCCTTCCAGCTATTTAAACTGTAGATGGTACGGGATAAGTCACAGTGTAGGACCCACTTACCTCATTTGCAACAAGTCCATCAAAACTGTCATAGATGCCCTTGACATTGTATCCTTGGGTCAAGGCCAGTCTCACAAAGGATCTGACTGCAGCATTCATCCCACAGGCTGGGGCGCCAATGTTCATCACTGCCAAGTTTCTGGCAGACTGCAACATAAGTTGAGGAAGCTACACTGATGAACCTATTTAATATATCAGTCTACATTCAGCATACTTAACTCTCTTGCCAGAATCATAGAACTTCTTTAATATATCTGAAAATGATGCGTTTTATTTCACAAAAACCACTTCAGGGATTGTGGATAACTATGGTAAACTGATTGCAGAGTCAAAAGTGTCAAAATATGATGATAACATTTGCAAACATTAGTTCCGCATACTGAGAGGATTGCTGGCACTGCAACTGGCGACAAGACTGCATTTTGAATTTGTTCAGACTCTGTAATTATGCACCCATAATTCAGTCACACAAGTTTCAGTCTGGTCTTTGACCAATTTCCTCCTGACTGAATAGTCTGACTGGAAAACAACCTGTCTTTTCCACAAACCGAAACCATCTGTAAATGTTGAACCTGGAAACAGAGACCATATAATAGATCTATTATATGGTCTCTGCTGGAAACAAACATGAGCTAAAAGAGAATAGGTACGATGCCATGCCATTGCCTATAGTCTTTGTATCATTTACCAGTTTGTCAAATCGATGAACTTTCTAGACATATATTTTTAAGATGCTTATTGATTGAGATAATAAACTTAACCATACAATTAGAATTAAGTTGTTTTCCTTATTGTTCAATTACTATTAAGTAGATGATACATTTCCAACATGATTCAGTCAAGCTACCCCCAGGTGTACAAATGGTTCACAGAGAAACAAGATGATATTGATTTATATATTTGTGGTTCAAACAACACTTCAATGATATTTCTAACCTCTCAGTGGGTATATGATATAGACCACAGTGTCATCAGGTAAGTATATAAGAGAGGCAAGACCTAACTTGAAGCTGACAAGCATTGAGTAAACAAACAGTACAGAACATCCTGCCAGACTTATTTCCCTGGAACCAGCCACCTCCAGCTATGATGCTGGCTACTAGCTGTTGGACATGCATCGAGCACCACACCATTACGGCAGGGATTACAACACATGCAAAGCAGAGCCAATATAAAAACAGTATTACAAACAAGTAATTGGTTCCCCTTACACAAAATAAATGCTGTCTTAAAACCTTTTTGAATTTGGTTTTCTCCTGGGCCCTGTTCCACAAAATGATATTAAACAAACCTGAATATATTCAAGTCCAATTATATTTTCTTAAAACCACAACATTTTTAATGATTTTATTCTTCTCTTGGGCCCCATTCCAACAAACAATTATAGCACTGAGATTGCTACAAGCCTACATTGAACAAATGGACTCATCTTAGTGCTATAATTGTTTTTGGGAGAGGGGGGATGATTTGGATGGCATCTCAGAATTTTCAGAATTTTGAAAACGAGAATGTAAATCTTGAGTCTCTTGATAACCATGGCTATCACCTTTGTAGTAAAAACAACCTACAAATACAACAAGAACTACTGCAGTAAGGGGAAGAATATGAAGACTGTATGGAGTTCATGAAGAAGATGGCCAATAGCACTGGAGCTGTCCATACAGGAGATGCAGATGCTACCTTACTATGGCTGTGTACTAAATGAAAGCAGATAACTGGAGGTTTTTGAGACACAGAGGCAAAATAGCACTGTCGTAAATACAGCAAACTTCTATCTTCAGGTAGCATACTGATTACCTTACCTGTATACTATTTCATGTTATTCCAGTACTACCAGTAAGAAACTTGATGTGCTATACTAACAGTCTGTTTAGTGGATGTGAAGGGACAATACAGGATGACACCTATAGAATGTTTTGTTGGTTGATGACACGGGATATACAATGTTTTAGTGGATGGTCATGGTACAATACAGGAAGACACCTATAGAATGTTTTGTTGGTTGATGACACATGATATACAATGTTTTAGTGGATGGGCATGGTACAATACAGGAAGACACCTATAGAATGTTTTGTTGGTTGATGACACGGGATATACAATGTTTTAGTGGATGGTCATGGTACAATACAGGAAGACACCTATAGAATGTTTTGTTGGTTGATGACACAATACAGGAAGATATACAATGTTTGTAGTGGATGGGCATGGTACAATACAGGAAGACACCTATAGAATGTTTTGTTGGTTGATGACACATGATATACAATGTTTTAGTGGATGGGCATGGTACAATACAGTCACCTATAGAATGTTTTGTTGGTTGATGACACATGATATACAATGTTTTAGTGGATGGTCATGGATGGAAGACACCTATAGAATGTTTTGTTGGTTGATGACACGGGATATACAATGTTTTAGTGGATGGTCATGGTACAATACAGGAAGACACCTATAGAATGTTTTGTTGGTTGATGACACATGATATACAATGTTTTAGTGGATGGTCATGGTACAATACAGGATGACACCTATAGAATGTTTTGTTGGTTGATGACACGGGATATACAATGTTTTAGTGGATGGTCATGGTACAATACAGGAAGACACCTATAGAATGTTTTGTTGGTTGATGACACATAATATACAATGTTTTAGTGGATGGTCATGGTACAATACAGGAAGACACCTATAGAATGTTTTGTTGGTTGATGACACGCACCTATAGGATATACAATGTTTTAGTGGATGGTCATGGTACAATACAGGATGACACCTATAGATGACACATAATGTTTTAGTTGGTTGATGACACATATATATACAATGTTTTAGTGGATGGTCATGGTAAAATACAGGAAGACACCTATAGAGTGTTTTGTTGGTTGATGACACAGGAAATACAATGTTTTAGTGGATGGTCATGGTAAAATACAGGAAGACACCTATAGAGTGTTTTGTTGGTTGATGACACATAATATACAATGTTTTAGTGGATGGTCATGGTAAAATACAGGAAGACACCTATAGAATGTTTTGTTGGTTGATGACACGGGATATACAATGTTTTAGTGGATGGTTTATGGTACAATACAGGATGACACCTATAGAATGTTTTGTTGGTTGATGACACATGATATACAATGTTTTAGTGGATGGATGATACACTGAGTTCTGCTGGTGGATGACAAATGATACAAAATGACATGTTGGTGGACGACTTCATTTCATCGTAGGAAGACACATTATACATGTTTTGTTGGTGGATAACAACTGTTACCAGTTATTTTGTGAGCTGATGGCACATAATACACTTTTGCTGGTTGATGACACACAATGTTTGCATGATGGACAATCAAAGATACACAGTGTTTTGTTGATGGGTGAAAAATAACATACAATCCTTTGTATGTTCTGTAGGTAGATGTCACATGTTACTCAATGTTTTGTAGGTAGATGTCACATGTTACACAATGTTTTGTAGGTAGATATCATGTTACACAATGTTTTGTAGGTAGATGTCACATGTTACACAATGTTTTGAAGGTAGATATCATGTTACACAATGTTTTGTAGGTAGATGTCACATGTTACACAATGTTTTGTAGGTAGATGTCACATGTTACACAATGTTTTGTAGGTAGATGTCACATGTTACACAATGTTTTGCAGGTAGATGTCACATGTTACACAATGTTTTGGGGGTTGGTGAAACATTACACAACTTTTTGGTTTCTATTGATAGAGAACAGAATGTTTCGAGGGTGGATGACATATTACGCAAGTTTTATTGGCTAATGACACTTTTGTTCCATGATGAGTATCTATTATTTCACTTGTCCACACCACCCCATATATACAGTTGTATTGGCATGCTGCAAACAAGACAAAGATGAATGCAGTGTCATGTGAATAGATGATTGTATGATGAATGTGAGAAGTGAGCGTGCAAAGAAAGAACAAGTATCACCAAAACCTTGTTATGTATATGTTGTAAGTTTAACATAGAAAATAATTGTAAATACATACAAGAAAAGAAACTAAATGCAATGAAACTAAACAAGATTGTTTTTCCACCACTAAAAACAACAAAAAATAGAATATTAAAAACTTAAGGCTAAGTGATATGTAAAAATAATTCTGTATATCAGGAGCTTTTCTTTCCTTTATTGACTACTTATTGACTATCAAACAGCTATAATCTTTCAGTAAACAAGCACAACTAACTGAGGAATCAGCTATTGAAATATTCCTCTCAGTTCTAAGCTGTCGCGTCAGTTTACAGCTATCATATAATTCGGTTAAGTGAAAGCATAAGTTTTAAGCCTGAGTTGGTATTGTTGTTGTTATAGACTAAGGTGAGTGAGGGAGTATAGTTTTACGCCGCACTCTGCAATATTCCAGCTATATGGCGGCGGTCTGTAAATTGAGCTAAACCTGTAGAGGTTTCCAATTCTTTGAAGAAAATCGTCCTTAGGGTACATATATGCATTTTCTGCGGCTGAAAATGTCATGTGACATTTGTATCAATGTTTTAATAAAAATATTGTACAATAAATAAAAATCTTTTTTATCTATTATACGGCCCCCACCACTGGGAGTTACCTCCCTGCTACGCATGCGCAGCCAACCAGGTAAGCACCTAGGCCTGTATCATCATTCCTTCTGCTGAATAAATCAGTGAACAGAATTGCGGGGAGGTGGGTGGCCCTACCCCAAGGACGATTCTCTTCAAAGAATTGGAAACCTCTACAGGTTTAGCTAATTCTTTTTCATAGAGATCGTCTTTGGGGTACATATATGCATTAACTCAGACTCCGAAAGACCAGAGGCTAGGGAGGAGGGAATTTTGTCAAAGTAAACATAAATAGTGATCGTTAGGAAGAATGTAACAGACGCCAAAACACTCACCTGTCACGTGTTCCGAAGCTTCCGCGAGAGGCATGATGGGAGGGTAAACGACAGGGAGGAAAGTACTGAGACCCGACCTCACAGGTTAAGCAAAGCAAAGCGCACACAGTGCGACAGTAAAAAAACCCGCCCACATCGTATATCTATTAAAGAGCACTGTAAGGGGGAAAACAAACCCACAACCGACCATAATCTCATGAGAGAAAATCGAAAGTAGTTAGATATGATAATAGCGGATATATCAATGATACACAATTGAAAGCAGTGTCAACTGTCCAGATAACCAAGACTCACTCTGTGATGGCAGGACACTGTCCATTGGGGAGAACACAACGGCAAAAACGCGCACAATCACGAGAATGTGTATCGAGCTGATAGTGCCTGATAAAAGTGCTAGGCCTGCTCCAAATAGTGGCAGAGCATATCTCTTCAATGGGCAGTGCCGATGCACAATCCTTTGACGTGGTCACTGCCCTGACCGAGTGAGGGGAGGCTTGCCCTTAGCCTGATAAGCAGCACAAATGACCAATACAAGCCAGCGTGATAGGGTCTGTTTGCTAGCACACACACACACACACACACACACACCGTGACTGCGAAAAGGCTGCTGGCAGCCAGACGAAGAGGCCTGCTCCTTGCCCTTACCTTTGGCGGGACGGCTCCTCCTCCTACGTCTACCCAGCAGCTGAAGCCAGCCGATGTGAGCGCAGTTGCTCCAACAAGGCCTTAAAATCCTTGAAGGAGGTAGCTGCTGCTGCAGCAGCCTCCCGAATGACCTGCTGCGCCCCTGAAAACAACGTCACTCCCAGCCAAAACGGAAGGGCCAGCAAGGTCTGCTGTGTTGCTGCCGAATAACGGGATGTAGACAGCCACAGCTTACACATCCCCATGACTGCGTACATCACCGTAGACGCGGCAGACCTCAAAGAGTCTCGCGTCAGGTGGGCCTGCACTTCGGACAATTGGCGAAGCAGAACAACATTCGGGGAAATGCCCCAGTGCTCCCTTCCGCCTCCAGAGCCGACCTTTGGATAGAGGAAAGGTAGGCCTCGTGGACCACTACCCGCATCTGCTGCATGGCATTCTGGTAGACTTCCTTGTAAGTCCGGTATGCCTGTTGTAGGGGGGCGCCCGCTAGGGCAAATGGTGGAACTAACCGCCCTTGCTTAGCAGCTGGGGCTGCACCTGAGGAAGCCGAGCCTCCCCCTAGGGCGACCGAAGTGAACAAGCACTCGTCAACCACCGGCACAAAGAACAGATAATCATCCCCCAGCTGGTACCTCTTAACAAGTTCGGGTAAATCGAACCGGAGGCGTGACCCAACCAGGAGGGGATACATCACGTCCTGCACCAGGGAAGGCAAGATATGGAGCTGTCTGCGAGGGTTGCCTAGGGGCATACGCCTCACCCAGCAGGCGGAACTCAGTTGAGTCCGAGCGACATGTCGGCACCGTGGCTTGGGGTATATACTCGGATAGCCGACGAGAAACGGAAAGTACCCTCCGACTCCTCGACCTCCCCAACCTCCATAGACTCGGCACCCGAGCCCGAGGAGCAGAACCCCGACCCGGTGGGAGGCCGAGCCGAGCGCAGGTACCGGAACCCCAGGAATCCTCAACGGACCCTGCACCAGGGACTGGGGGCGAACCCTCCCCCTCCGGGGTAGCCGAGGCGTCTGGACCCGAAGCCAAAGGCAAAGGATGAACAGTCGCCTCCAGGCCAAGGGATCGAGCCGGGCTCGGCGATCCCACCCCCGGACTCTTGATCCCCCATTCAGAGTGGGCGAGAACTCCTGGCGGAGACCTCCAACAGACTCATGAACAAGGGACTTCACGGAGTCCATATGCTGCTGAAACAATTGAGTGATGATTGACATATCAAAACCACTAGATTGGGATTGAGATTGGGAATGCGACTTATGCGAAGACCTAGGTTTAGCTTGTTTAGCTTTTTTGGATTTGGACGGGGGAACCTCCTGGGTCAGTTCCCCTCCCGCCTCCCGCAATTCCTTATAAAAAAGGAAATCAGCCGCCCGCCTCTTCTGGGCCCGTGGGAAAAGGCCATACACAGTTCGCAGATTTCAGGTGAGTGAGTGAGTGAGTGAGTTTGGTTTTACGCCTCTTTTAGCAATATTCCAGCAATATCACGGCGGGGGACACCAGAAATGAGCTTCACAGATTTCAGGGTTATGCCCTGCTTTCTCTAAACAGCACAAGCATTTGTCATGCTTATCAGCTCTAGGAATATTCTGCCCGCAGACAGTAAACCCAGTAAACGCCTGAAAGCAAACACGCAAGCATGTAGCTAACGGCGGAACACAGCAGCATAAATATACACGTACAGAACATTGAAAATTACGTGAATGCAACCACGTGACATGAAATACTTGGTTAATAACGCAATATTTCAACCACGTTGCAAGCTAAACTTCCTGCCATGGAAAAGCAACATGTGCGTAAACCACGGGAAAGCTAGCGTAAAATTTAATACAAAGTCACATAAAAGAGAAATAACAGACTGCAAAGTCAATAAAACTTTTCTTTTTCTTTTTCAAGAACAAATAAAGACCATACATACAGTTGTTGAAGTCTCAGACATTCTTCACATCAGCTTAGTAACTGGGAACACGTGTGAACACTTACATGACAGCAGAAGGAATGATGATACGGGCCTAGGTGCTTACCTGGTTGGCTGCGCATGCGTAGCAGGGAGGTAACTCCCCGTGGTGGGGGCCGTATAATAGATAAAAAAGATTTTTATTTATTGTACAATATTTTTATTAGAACATTGATATAACTGTCACATGACATTTTCATCTGCAGAAAATGCATATAGGTACCCCAAGGACGATCTCTATGAAAAAGAATAATCAGTTAGGACCAGACAATCCAGAGATCAACAGCATGAGCATTGATCTGCGCAATTGGGAACTGATGACATGTGTCAACCAAGTCAGCGAACCTGACCGCCCGATCCCGTTGGTCGCCTGGGTTAATGAAGATCAATATTCTAACCCGGACCTTCACGGGTATTATAGACTAAGGATGGAAGGAAACACTGAAACTTGACCATACTATCCATGTAAGGAAACAGATAACACTGCTTGATGCTTTGTTTAGTTTCCCACCTGGAACCCCAATGTGGTTAGCAACTACTGGAGGACATTGATCTCACATGGAACTCCAGCTGGTTAGCAATTACTGGAGACCATTGATCCCACATGGAACCACATCCAGCTGGTTAGCAACTACTGGAGACCATTGACCCCAGATGGAACCACCCTCAGCTGGTAAGGAATTACTGGAGATCATTGATCCCACATGTAACCACCCTCAGCTGGTTAGCAACTACTGGAGACCATTGATCCCACATGGAGCCACCAGCTGGTTAGCAATTACTGGAGATCATTGATCCCACATGGAACCACCCTCAGCTGATTAGCAATTACTGGAGATCATTGATCCCACATGGAACCACATCCAGCTGGTTAGCAACTACTGGAGACCATTGATCCCACATGGAACCACCCTCAGCTGGTTAGCAACTACTAGAGACCATTGATCCCACATGGAACCATCCTCAGCTGATTAGCAATTACTGGAGATCATTGATCCCACATGGAACCACCCTCAGCTGGTTAGCAACTACTGGAGACCATTGATCCCACATGGAACCACATCAAGCTGGTTAGCAACTACTAGAGACCATTGATCCCACATGGAACCACCCTCAGCTGGTTAGCAACTACTAGAGACCATTGATCCCACATGGAACCATCCTCAGCTGATTAACAACTACTGGAGATCATTGATCCCACATGGAACCACCCTCAGCTGGTTAGCAACTACTGGAGACCATTGATCCCACATGGAACCACCCCCAGCTGGTTAGCAATTACTGGAGATCATTGATCCCACATGGAACCACCCTCAGCTGGTTAGCAACTACTAGAGACCATTGATCCCACATGGAACCACCCTCAGCTGGTTAGCAACTACTAGAGACCATTGATCCCACATGGAACCATCCTCAGCTGATTAGCAACTACTAGAGACCATTGATCCCACATGGAACCACCCTCAGCTGGTTAGCAACTACTGGATTACATTGATCCCACATGGAGCCACCCCCAGCTGGTTAGCAACTACTAGAGACCATTGATCTCACATGGAACCACCCTCAGCTGGTTAGCAACTACTAGAGACCATTGATCCCACATGGAACCACCACCAGCTGGTTAGCAACTACTGGATTACATTGATCCCACATGGAGCCACCCCCAGCTGGTTAGCAACTACTAGAGACCATTGATCTCACATGGAACCACCAACAGCTGGTTAGCAACTACTAGAGACCATTGATCCCACATGGAACCACCACCAGCTGGTTAGCAACTACTGGAGACCATTGATCTCACATGGAACTCCAGCTGGTTAGCAACTACTGGAGACCATTGATCCCACATGGAACAACATCAAGCTGGTTAGCAACTACTGGAGACCATTGATCCCACATGGAACCACCACCAGCTGGTTAGCAACTACTGGAGACCATTGATCTCACATGGAACCACCACCAGCTGGTTAGCAACTACTAGAGACCATTGATCCCACATGGAACCACCACCAGCTGGTTAGCAATTACTGGAGACCATTGATCCCACTTGGAACCAGCCCTAGTTGGTTAGCAATTACTGGAGACCATTCATCCCACATGGAGCCACCAGCTGGTTAGCAACTACTGGAGACCATTGATCCTACATGGAACTCCAGCTGGTTAGCAATTACTGGAGGACATTGATCCCACATGGAACCACATCCAGCTGGTTAGCAACTACTGGAGACCATTGATCCCACATGGAACCACCCCCAGCTGGTTAGCAACTACTGGAGACCATTGATCCCACATGGAGCCACCCCAGCTGGTTAGCAACTACTGGAGACCATTGATCCCACATGGAGCCACCCTCAGCTGGTTAGCAATTACTGGAGACCATTGATCCCACTTGGAACCAGCCCTAGTTGGTTAGCAATTACTGGAGACCATTGATCCCACATGGAGCCACCAGCTGGTTAGCAACTACTGGAGACCATTGATCCCACATGGAACCACATCCAGTTGGTTAGCAACTACTGGAGATCATTGATCCCACATGGAACCACATCCAGTTGGTTAGCAACTACTGGAGGACATTGATCCCACATGGAACCACCCTCAGCTGGTTAGCAATTACTGGAGACCATTGATCCCACATGGAACCACCCCCAGCTGGTTAGCAACTACTGGAGGACATTGATCCCACATGGAACCACCCTTAGTTGGTTAGCAACTACTGGAGACCATTGATCCCACATGGAACCACATCCAGCTGGTTAGCAACTACTAGAGACCATTGATCCCACATGGAACCACCCTCAGCTGGTTAGCAACTACTAGAGACCATTGATCCCACCTGAGACCTCCTAGACAGTTAGCAAATTCTGAGGACATTGATCCCATCTGGAGACCCTTGTCGGTAAGCAAGTAGTGTATTAAATGTATATTGACTAGATTTTGTTATGTAGACTAAAAAATGAATGTTAACCCTGAGAAAATGTATGATAATGTAAAAAGTGAAATAGATATATAGTCTTTATGTTGATGATGATTTTCCATGAAGTTACCTCTGGTAGAAACTGTAACAGAGATTAAATATGTGACACTGGAGATGACAGTATAGATGCAGCTTAGCCTAGAAAGAGCAACTTTCTTAATACAGGGTATTTTATCTCCATTCCATCACAATTAACACCCTAAACCCATTCGCTACCATAACTAATTTTGGAGTGATGAAACCATCTCCAATTATAATATAATGTTCTTTTCTTTTGCATTTGTGCTAGACATCAACATGAGTCTTGTGAATCAGAAAGGAGACCATGCATGAGAGAGCTGTTGACAGTTTAGGCATTTTTCTCCAAATCATAAAAATGACAATACTGAAGTTTTAGCTGGATATTTTGCAATTAATGATATCCTGAGTGATAGCTTTATGTGAAAAAGATAAATCGTAACAAAGCCATGATACTGGTTTTCATTTTATAATAATCAGAAACCTTAGAGGTAGGTGCAAAAATAAAATTCATCATGAGACACCGATTAACTTGTTTTTTTCTAGAAAAACACTGCGTTGTTTCACGTTTCAGACAGCATGGGTCTCGTGCCACTGATGAATTAATCATGTTCCCTCAGTGATATTCAACACATAGAAATTAGCTCGTTACAAAAATGACAATAATAGTGACTTGGTGGAGAGGACAAACTCAAGTATAATTTGAGCTGAAACTTGTAGCTCTACATCCAAAATCATAATGGTTGGCATCTGTGCTAGGGTAGCAAGTTGGTGCAGGGTACACATGGCATAAGAGAGGTGATACAACACACTGGATATTTGAACATTGAGACACAGTTGCATAACATCAAGTATACTGGGAAGTCAAACAGGGTCTACAAAAATATATGTGATCAAAATGCACATGGGAAATTCACTGAAGTATTTAAACAGGCAAACAATGAAAGCTTAGGACAACAGTATTCAAAATGGCTTGAAGATACCTACTGATCTGCGTTAACTGGTGAATCAAAGCAAATAGTCAACAATGGAACTATTTTTACGTTTCCTTGTTTACTTGCATGACAAAGAGATCTAGACTCTAGATATACACCATTTCCTTCAGTTCAAAATGCTGTGAATATTAATGTGAACATGCTGTAGTTATTCAGGAAATTAACTTTGTATTTGGTTATATACTTCTGAAACACACTGAAAACACAATTACAAATGGCTTTACAGAAGTAATTGTAGCTTTGTATTCATGTTTTGTGTCAAATCTGTCAAGAGGTGACAGACTTCAGAACGTATTGTCTACCTTTACTGTAGTTATATCATACACAATCTCGAGATGATAGTACATACGAGTTGTTCACATTTCATCAATGACAGGATGATCAGTACATAATTTGTGTTTTCACTGTGTTCAAGAAATATCATGAATATCAGGTACAGATAGGGCAAAAGTCTCACTTAACACTGGTTATCATGGTGACCGGATGAATAATACCTTGATGTTTTTGGTGGTTCCACTATGTTGATGATAGGAACAATGGTAGACTGGCTAATATATGGCGGCCAGATAATTAATGGTTCCTATATTTAGTTACTAGGATTCCTAACTGTCCCTAATTGTTACAACTATATTCCTAAGATTATAATAGATATATAGATTAAAATATTTCTAAAAACAAGCAGAAATAGACTTACATGGTCCTGGAAAGAATCCCAATGTCCCTGCAAAAGTTACTGACAGTGTCTGATCTCATATACTGTACTCTCTGTCCAGGCAACGATAACACTGAACATGTCACAGATGAAGATATATCACCATGACAACTATAAACACTGAGTGTGTAACAAGTATGCAAATTTCCCAGAATACGGAGCCAGGGATGCATATTGCCCAGAATAGAGATCCAGGAATGCATATTGTCAAAAATAGGGGGCCAGGGGATGCATACTGTCCAGAGTAGAGGGTCAGGGGATTTACCGGTATATGGACCAAGGTAGATTGGGAGGGAATGCAAATTGGCTACTAGCTGCCGTGACATTGTTTACATGAAGTGTAACATACTGTCAGTTGTGGAAAATCTGTGAAAGAAGCATTTTTCAAGCTATGTTTTTTCACATTCACATCCTGAAATGTTGATATGATATTTGTGTTTTCCTTGTGTTGTGTTTGCAATGCAAGGTTCGAGATCTATTGTTAAGAAGTTAACAATGTCACAAGAATCCTTAAACTGGACATAATGCTGATGACTCTGCTTGTTCTCCACAGACTCAAGGAGACAACGGCTGGGTTACAGTCACATCGAAGTAAGGAAAAGTAAACAACACATTCCAAAGAGAACAGTCAAAATAACAAACACAAGGCTGAAGTAAAACATCTGCATCCAAACGATAAGAAAAAACACACTAGTTAGTGCCCAACACTTGGGTATTCCAACTCATGCATCTTCTGAAGACAACTCATATCAGTATATACAACATCAAACGATTCAACCAGCAAACAAACTATATCAGGATATCAAAACTTTCTGAACTCAGCAGAAACAAAATATTTTAAATAAACTTGATAATTTTTCTAATTTTTAACAGAAATGACTCTTGAGGAAATGAGTACAATGGATGTTGATGTAACCAGCATGATGTGAACCGTCCTCATCTCGCGTGTGTGTTGTGTGATAGCTGTTACTGAAGGAACGTACCTGGCAGTCTGTCCCCTCCACATTACTCAGGGCTGCTGGGGGCCTCAGTTTACTCAGCTTACGGTAGGTGTTCAGGTTGTTCTGGAAACTCCTGGAAGATATTACCAAGAATTCATTCTAGCGCATACATTCATTGTTGACAGTCATAAATGAAGGTACTTATGTCAGTTTAACACTGTTCACAAGATGTATGGTTCCATGAGGAGTTTGTCAGGCTATTGTAAGGCGTGGCATCAGAATCAGTTGACACTAGTAGGAACTTCTGTGTAAAGGTTTAAACTGAGATTGCTGTGTAAAAAGACAAGAGTCATCAGAAGATGACATATCCCCACAGCCCCACATATTTGATGCCAAAAATGTGTAAAAAGCAAAAGGCATCACTTCAAGATCTGACTCATAAATCTGCCACGTTCTGTTGAAAGATATTAAACGGTTTTCGAGTTGTGCTCCAGAAACGAAGCCCATCCCTCCCTTTTGACACTAAGTCCGAATCGTTTCCATGGAAACCAGGAAAAACAAGAGTCATCAGAAGATGACATAGCCCCCCGGTCCCCACATATTTTAAAGAACAAATCATCTGACAGTTACTTAAAGTCCAGCTTGACTGTTTTCTAAACTATGTCCAAATCGTTTCCATGAAAATCATGAGAAATATAAATGCCAAAAATCTTTAAATAGCAAAAGGCACCATTTCAAAATTTGCCTAATATAGTAATATATCTGCCAAGTTCTGTTAAAAAATACTGAACGCTTTTCGAATTGTGCACTGGAAATGAAGCCCACCCCTCCCTTTTGGGACTAAACCCTAATCGTTTCAATGGAAACCGGGAAAAAATGAAAAATGCTAAAAATCTGCAAATAGCAAAAGGCACCACTTAAAGTTCTGTTTGATATATCTACCAAGTTTTGTTGAAAAATATCGAACGGTTCTTGAGTTATGCTCCGGAAACAAAGCCCACCCCTCCCTTTTGGGACTAAGTCCGAATCGTTTCCATGAAAACCAGGAAACAAAAATATGCCAAAATTCTGCCAAATAGCAAAAGGCACCACTTTGGCATCTGCCTCACATATCTGCCAAGTTTTGCTGAAAGATATTAAGAAGTTTTCCAGTTGTGCTCCGGAAACGAAACCCACCCCTCCCTTATGAGACTAAGTCCGAATCGTTTCCATGGAAACCGGGAAACTCATGATCTTTTGCTTATCTCCCTTTCCCTTGCGAATGGTAGTGGAACACTTGAATCCCTTGAAGTTCCCAAAGTGGACGTAAAAATACACTCACCCACAAGTTACCTCCCTTTTCCTGCGTAAACAGTCATGTGACCAGCCTTACTTGTCACTCTCCTGATTTTTCTGCCCAAGCACTTGGATCTGCTGTGCAATCCAAAGTGTTTCCAGCGGGGAGGTTAGGAGGGCTTGACCTCATGAGTCAGGATAAGTATAAAAATATCAAATTTACTTGAAAAATTACATATTTTTTCTTATCCTGACTTTTGATCTTCCCCTGTACCACGGGTTTGGTTACAAGTCAGTAAACTTGCTGGTGCCTGCTCTGTCAGTGTGAGGCGCTGTCTGACGTGTAGATATCTGCGTTGCCTTCCTTTCATGAACCCTGCCTTCTCAAACCTCTATCTGTAGATTCCTCCCTTTACAAACGTTTATCTTGAGAGTCCTCTCTTCACGAAACCTCTATCTCTGAATTCATCTCTTCGCGAACCTCTGTGACATGAGCTTTCTGTTCGCGAACCTCTGTCTCGTGATGAGTGACTCCGGGAACGTCTGTGAGAGATATGAGATCTCGATCTAGAGCGGCTTGGTGTAGGAGATGGATCCTTAGGTGTTCTCGAAGCTGAGGGTTCGCAGATGTTGAAGAGTGAGTAGGCTTCTCATGTCTTCTATCCTCTTCCAGACTATGGAGACCTTCACATGACTGTTAACGCGAGAAAATGGAGGTAACTCGTGGGTGAGTGTATTTTTACGTCCGCTTTGGGAACTTCAAGGGATTCAAGTGTACCACTACCATTTGCAAGGGAAAGGGAGATAAGCAAAAGATCATGAGCCAGGATAAGAAAAAATATAAAAATGACAAAAATCTACAAATAGCAAAAGGCACCACCTTAGGTTCTGTTTGATATATCTACCACTTTTTTTTTAAAATATTGAACGGTGTTTTAATTATGCTCTGGAAACAAAATAATTACGGACGGACAGACGGATGAGGCGTCAACTATATCCCCACGCATTACATGCCGGGGGGGTAACAACTGATTGATGATGGAAGCAGGGCTGTTTCAGTTGTGTTCTAAATCACATTCCACATGACTTACTTTCCACGGAGACGAACAGCTTCCTCCCAGTTCTTCTCATTCATGTTCTTCTGAACAGCCTGGGTCTAGAAGCAAATAACAATTGACACAGTCAGTATGTGTCACTGTGAATGAGAACTTCATCTCATGGTGTGTTAGCTTGATGCAGGTCCTAGAAGTTTACCACAAGCACAGGTATGGTGGTCACAAACCTAGCTGCATGATTGGAGGGAACCGGGATTTGAACCCACAAGCTCGGTGTGCGCTCTGTAACTCTGCCCTGGTGTAACACTGCCAGGGCCATTCGGATTCTGATGCCTTAGACGACTTGACCATCTGCGACCCCATACAATACACAAAATCTTGCTACTTGAATGTGAAAAAACATTTCCGCTGTCATGGGTAATGAATAGCAGCCATACACCATGATCTGAATCCGATTGCAAACAGAGGCTAAACACACAGGAAATAATACCAGTAGTCAAAATGCATTTGACATCGTCACCCTTGTAATTCTTGTATCATTTTGTTCCTATATAGGACCTCTTGACCGGAGTAATTGTGGACAGTATTTTCACACATAAAGAGGTTAAATGAGCACAGGTACAAACACACAGGATAAAAGAAACAACAAAGATTCAACACTTCACCACAAGGTGTGAGTGGCCCACCTACCCTCTCGACACATTGCATGAGTGGCACCCTGACAGTCTGGTTTCCCTCCAGGGACACGACACAGGCGGGCGTGTCGGGGTCCGCATCCATCAGAGCCAGCACTGCTTCAGCACCCATTCTAGAACCCTGAACAACAAGCATGGAGTCACTACACTGTACAAAACTCAGGGGTCCTTGGTCATCATAATTCATGGCTCTACTCTTTCAACGACCCACTCAAGTTTGCAACTATTATCAGGACAATTATGAAGAAGGCCTCTTGGCTGAGTCATATGGAACAAGCTTTCTTCAAGGTTTGGTAGAATTCAGTCCCATGTTGATTTGAACACTATCCCATTATGTTATCGTTACAGCTTAAGGTATGAGGAGTGAGCCAGTGAGAGTTTAACACCACCTTGAACATTTCTTTAAAAAAACTTGGATTTAAGCACATCAAAGAACAGATCTGGGCAAGGACAAAAGCCAGTGTCTACAGTAGGTGAGGTAAATTCCAAAGTCACATTTGCAGTGTTCCCATCATGGTGAGACCATAACAGTGTTGAGAACAGTGGAAACTGGCAGCCAACATGAGTTGTGTTTCTCCCGGTGGGTTTCCCGGATGAGTAAGTTTCTGTGTTAGAACAGACCAGTATGGGTATTGGGTGGTTATACTGGGATTCATGTGCTTTACAACGTGAAGCTGGGATTTCAAAACTGGAAAAGATGTTTTCATTCAGAAGAAACAGACAGAGGCAAACTTGTTGAAATAACAAGTACTAATCGAGCTAGAAGACGAATCAAAAGTTTGTTTTTTGGCACAATTAGTTCCAGAGGGGCAGGAGCAAGCATTTTATGAGTTTTCCCAAACTCACTGGAAAAACGTACATATCTACTCTATTTATGTATTTTAACCATGGTACTGTGATTTCAACAGTGCCAAAGAGGCTCCAATACAAGGAACTTTGTACCCTGACTAGTGATTATATTTGGCACTACTTAGTCTGATAAACTCTTGTGACTTGTCCAACTCACCAGGATCCTGTCAAATGCGGAGGGACTTCCACCTCTCTGTACGTGACCGAGCACAGTCACACGTGTATCATAACCCAGGCGGGAAGAGAGCAGCTGAAAACAGTGAATAAACCTACACTTATCTCACTGAAACATGCTTGTCTATGTAAATTTACCTCCCTTATACTGCCCTGTAATATTTCAGGAAAGCAGACACAAATGCATATAATGCTGACTGAATACTGAATTATGTAATTTTCTGACTAAAATTGATATTTTATACTTGTCAGGTGACCAAAAGGGCGCCAAAGGGGCAAGGGAGGCAACTCCTGGGTGAGTAGTGATTTTACGTCCGCTTTTTAAAAGGGAACTTCAAGGGATTTCAAGTGTTCCACTATCATTTGCAAGGAGAAGGAGACAAGCATAATTAGCATGAGTCAGGATAAGGAAAAATCTGTATTTTTGTGTCTCGATACAAAAATCAATCAAGTAATGACATGGGTAATCATACCCAAAAGATCATATAAGATTCCTTTTATATTTCTATTATTTATTATTATTATAGGATATTTATATAGCGCACATATCCAGGCAACTTGTGCATACTCAAGGTGCTGGTATTTGTTCCCTCGATCATTGGATGTCAATCTTAACGTCACATCGTATTATCAATCTGCTGAAATGACAAACAACTGAATTCCTACATGAAAATCTTTTCAGATAAAGTATGTTCTTATCCTCCTAAAATAACCTAAGCAATGTGTTACCATGGTTACATTTAGGAACCATGCAGGACCTACATTTTTAACATATCAGCTGTGATGGGTTGGCCATGTCTGTCCATAGCTCCCTCTGCAACCAGGATGATATTCAAGCGCTGACCAAATGACCTTTCCTGCAACACAATAGAGAGAGAGAGCACTGAAATGTAAAACTCAAGTACAAAAGCCTACCAATATTCAATAACGTAATGAGCATTTTTATACTTTAACTATAATAGTTCAGGGCAAAGCTATACTTTATTAGACATTGGAGTAGTGCTGACCTTGTTTCTTAAATAGACACAACATTTTGGATATGATACACTTCCATTTATTCTTAATCTAATATTTCTAAAAACAGCCTCTAAATATCTTCAAAATACTGAGGTACATATCGACAAGTCATGCATATTAAGCCACCATATTATGATAACAATTTCAAAATTTTTGATGTCTGAAGTTGTCAGCATCCCTCACCATGCTAACCTACTTATTTTACAATTTACATAAATCCATCAAGTTTTGATTGATATCCATTCTCACTCAAGCATTGTGACAAAGAGTGACAGAATTGGACCTGATTCAACCCCGGAAAACCAATATAATTACACAACACTGGACTTGAGTTGTCAACTGACCGTGGTGAGCTTGTTACATAGGGTATCCTCCCACCCATCCTCTGGGGGCCACTCGGGGATGAACACCCAGTCAGCCTCACTGGCCAGGGCAGCCACGAGAGCCAGGTACCTGTAAGGTAGACACACAATGTAATAAGCACATACCGGTAGTTGTAACAGTCACATACACTGGCGATACAGGGCCCCGTTTCACAGAGCTCTCATAAGCCTAAGATCTCGTAACGTTTCTTGTAGAATTCATGCCTCCTATGTTAAGTATGAGAGGTACGAATGCTACGAGAAAAGTTACGAGATCTTAGGCTTATGAGAGCTTTGTAAAACGGGCCCTGATTGGTAATAATAACACACTATATTTAGTTAATGTTGTTACATGTATTCCGGGAGTGAGTTTTGATTTACAATGTTTTGAACATATTTCAGTTACATCCAAGTAGTCAGTTTGATACAGGCCTTAAATGACTACCACTTGGATGAAACACATGGAAACAATGTTGACAAATCTAGAAGTATAATCAGTGCAGGATTTAACCCTCCACCATATCATGTCATGTGTCATGTCATTTTATGTTTACATACTGCTGTCAATAGCAAATTGTAATTCAATTCACTTGTACTGTTAAACATGACAAAGTATATCAATTTAATGAGCATATTTGAATCCATCAAAGTATTTTAAAATGATCATTGTTCACTTTGACAGATTTCATAAAAGTTTGTAGTGAAAACAAACAATATCACCTTAAAAATAAGATAATAAAATGCTTGGCAAATACCAATTGGTTGATATTATTCATTGATATATAAAAAAAAGACACTTGCGTTGAATCTTTCTTTTATCATATTGAGTATACCACAGATGTAAGTCAAATGATGATAAAACATACCCACAGTGTCTGCCCATCAGTTCCAGAACAAACGCCCTCTGGTGACTGTAACATGAAGACATATACTGAATACAATGTCAAGGTAAAACAACCTGAAACATCTGTTAGGTCTCATTCTTCAAATAGAAATTAACATTGTGTATCCTCCTCTCATAGCAATTCCATTTAGAAGTCAAGACAACATGATATTGCCAGCTGACTAAAAGCAGGATAAGTACACATACTAATGTGAAAATTTTAACTATATATACTGAACAACAAAAGTTTAGCACATTTTTGGAAATTGTATATAATTTTCAACAAGTAACACTTGATGCTATAATTCATTACGCATAGAAATAGAGTGACCATTTGACAGCACAATTGAAGTGTCAAAAGACGTGTTCAATCCAGAACGTCAAGAAACGTTACACGTTGTAGGGTAGGGGTGAAACGTTCCAAATGACAAAAACGAGTTAATAGCATGTGTGGGCTCCACGTGCTTGCCGCAGCTTGCTTGCCGTGTACCCGTAGCTTGGCGCTACTTTCGTTGGCCAGGCGATGGGGCTCTTGTTAACCTGTGTCGTCATGATGGCGTCACAATGTGGCCGATCTTCCGTGGGGTGGTAGAGCGAGGCCTTCCTGACCTTGGTTAGGTCTCTAACTTGGCCAGTTTGTTGGACCCGTTGCCACAGGCGAATAATTGTGCTGTAATGCACTTGGAAGTGCCTGGCGGCGTCTCTTACTTGCTGGCCAGCATGTAGTAGATCGAGGGGCTTGATTGGCGTTGATTTTCTGGCATTCTAGGCCGGCGACCCATGCTTCAAACTGAACAAGTCTTTGAGGTTTCTGTACACTGTTACTCCAGTGTGTCATGTCAACCATTTTATACACCCAAGTTTGAATGATTTTTCTGCCGATGGACATAAACACGATATTCACGTGCACCATCCTGGTTTTTACAACGGTCCAACAATCGAGTAAAGTTTGATGGCACTCAAGTGTGTCATCATGTGTTCACGTTGGGGCAAAATTTCAGTATTTTGTCTCATATCATTCTCTTGTATATAAATGTTACAAAAATGTGCTAAACTTTTGTTGTTCAGTATATATATTGAGTATCTATAGTATTTGTTCCAGCTCATGTGATGCACTTTCCCTTGTTCACTCAGCCATGGATTGGAAACAATCTAAAACAAGGTATCTTGTAACACATTGCCCCAAACACACCCCTGTTCCATCTATTGTTGTAGGTAGTTAATGGAAGCATGCGAAGTGTACATCTTGTCCAGGCAACGTAAGCCATTCTCTTGTCTGGAAACTGGAACCAATCTTCTAATCTGGTTAGTGGGGTGGGAGTGTATCGTGAGATTGGATAACAGAGGTACAGATAAGCTGAGCTGCGTATCTGCGTAAATTACTCCAATATTTATGTGAAAACTCAATTCCTATTAAGTCTATTGTGTACAAGTATGCTTGAAGTTTTGTAAATACTCAATAAATGTGATCTTACATGCGTACACACAAAAATGTCAAATCGTAGCTTGCGTACCAGTATATAGATAAAATAACTGAAGTATAGTGAGAGGTTCCATTTCCGGACATGAACTTGACAATTTGCAGTCTTTCTTATCGTTTCTCATATTACAGATCAAATATGAACACTAACAAACACTAACATTTAAACTTTATTATATTTTTTAAATTAATGGAAAATATCAAAATACCCAATTAAGTGTGAGTGAGGTGAGTACAATTTATTTTGTTACTCAAAGGAAAATTAGGATACCCAATTGAGATGAAGACAAGGGAGTACATAACTCAATGACCCAAAAAGTTATCTGTAGCTCTGGGATAAGTATTATACATATACAATTTATGGTTAAAATTTTCAAATTTGTAAACATTAATGTGTTACAGAGACCATCTCTGGTCGCCAAAAATATCATTGACACTGCCATTGTCTTTTGAGGGTTGGAAGCCACAGGCACAGATAACAATGCGAAGGCCAGGGGTAGGCTTGGAGCGCATCCAGAAGGTGGTAGTCTTCTTTAAAAAATGATGAATTTCTTGGTTATTAAAGGTAAATAATAACCCTCTCAAAACCTCTGTAGAGATTTATATGATGGTAGAAAAATTCTCTATCTATAACAAGTCGTTTGACCCAAAGGTGACAAGAAAGAGAATGACTTCAGTTCGATGTGACTTGATCGGCCAGGACAAGAGGCATCCTTTGCATATATCCAGTGACTGACAACAATAGATGGAGCATGGGTGTGTTCGGGTAAAGTGTTACCAGAGGCTGGAAACTTTGTTTTAGGTTGTTTCCCCTTCACTGTCAAAGAACATGTGAGATGGGATATGTTTACAATGTGGACAATTTCTTAAAATCTTAAAAAGAGTTTTTACTGTCCCTGTCTGAACAAAGCTTGACAATATGTAATGGTATACAGTATATGGCAATAGGATTTGGCAGTTGAAGTGAACTGACCTAGAGGCAGTGGTGGCGATGGCATCGACGGCCTCGATGATCCTGTGCAGAGCAGTGTCTGTGCCTATAGTCATGTCGGTAGCCACAGAAGTCGTTGTCGATGGATCCCACCATTCCAGCAATGTTCAGGTGGGAACACCGGTCAGCACTCTCTTGAGGGATCTTTCCTAGCATTACAACAAGTCTGGATAAAGGACCCTTGTTTATCTGGCACAACCCTGATTACGTCAAGGACCAAGTTACGTCAAGTACATTTACAAGAAAGAAATCTGGTTTTAATACGATTGAAATGTTGCTAACCTGCTTTGACCAGATCGGCAAGGAGGCTGGACCATTCCTTCCTGAAGAGGTTGGCACCAGTCAGACTGCCGTCACCCCCAATCACAACCAGGTTGGTGATGTTCAAGTTGACAAGGTTCTCTGCTGCCTGAAGACGGCCTTCCCTCTCACGGAATGTCTTACATCTGGCACTACCGATTACAGTACCTCCCTGCCAATGGACAGGATTGAGTTAAACAGCCACATAAACAACCATATCAGGGCTTAATTTAAAGGTCACATGCAACCAAAAAATCAAACATAATTAAAACACAATTATCACTTCTTCATGACATATAATATGCATTGCTGATTATGATAAATCAAATAAACAAAATTATAAGCGTATAATCGCAAATCAAAAGTGCAATATTTTGTACTTGGGTTTACCTCCCTCGAAACGAAGCAGCCGGGATACCGAACCCAGTCAGAGCGAGTGGGTGTGCACTCAAGTGTAACGGCTGGTTCATTAGCAGATGCCGTCTTCACGGTTCATTGTGTGTGTATATATAGAGATGTTGGGTTTTGTAAATACATGCTCTTTTTTGTGTATAACATTTTGCAATCAACAGACATCATAACATGTCATGTGTTTAAGTATCACACCTGCCTGTCTGTGTAATTACATAATGTGACAGAGACCGAACTTCGGGCCATAAATCAATGCGTTTTGTTTATGGTGTATAGCCTGATTGGTGTTAAGTTCAAATTGCATGTGGTCAGTGATCGCAGTTGTGTATTGAATATTGTCATTAGCAGACAGGCAGGCAGACACACAGGTGTCAATAAAACCAGACATTGAGTTTTGTCTGTGACAGCGACATATCTATATCACAGTTAGAAATTGTGTCAACGCTAAATAATGACATTGCTTTTAAGTATCGAACTGAGAAAGTGACTCGGTAAGAAGAACGTGTGGTGAAATAGACAAATTAAATTATATAAACAGTTCATTTACTGTCATAACATATAAAAGCTTCGCCTGTGAGATATCAACAAAACATTATGAAAATAGCTCACACCAAAGCCTTCACCGAGTATTCACCAGACAGCCCGCTTCCTAGTTGAGTGAACCTATTTCACTGCGCCGTGCTATGGCGCAGCCCAGCTGTTGAAACCAGTATTCCCCAGAAAAGTCTGGGGAAAATTAGTGAAACGTTTGAACTCCGATTTTGCGCGTTTTTTTTCATCGCGTTATTTTTCAACTTTATAAGTTGAATTTGCATTTTTGACGCTTTGTTTCGGTAAAACCATACCGAAAGGTATCAGAATCTGCAAAGTTGTGTTTTACGTTGCATGTGACCTTTAAGGAAACAAACCCTAATTGCACCTGGTGGAACTAAGGTAATTAACTTGTTCACCAGACAAAAACAGGATGCACCTGCTGCTCAATAGAAAATAATATATAATGCTTGAGTATTCATAACTGAGAATAACATTACAGCAAATTATTCTGGGTCTTATTTTACTTCATACATTCATAACATGAACAGCAAAATATTCACATGCATTGAATGCAAGTTTTTATAAATATGTATAAATATGGGGCTACACTCTACAGTTTCAGGCTGCAGCAGTGCAAGTTCTAAATGCTTCAATCAAGCCCTGCTTATATAGGACTTAGCAATGATTAGAGCATCCTGAAACAAGTACTGAGGTTACAACTGATACAAATGGTGCACTTCCGAACAAGAATTTCAAATCCTCTCTAAAACAAGGAAGAGTAATAAGTCACAACCAGACAATGTTGAAAAGATGGTCTACAAAGATAGCGCTACCTTCAATGCTGTTTATCATTATGACATGGGAAAGACAGTGTTACATCTCACCAACTGCATGATGCCCGACACACTGGCCCATGTTGCTAGCTGAATATGGTCACTGCCATCAACCATACCCTGGTAACCCTGGAAACAAAGATAAAATAACTTCAAAATCTAGTCGGTATTCAACAAGAGCCATGGCATGCCTTTGGTATGAATGAGGGGTGGTGGGGTAGACTAGTGGTTACAGCGTCCGACTGTCACACCGAAGACCTGGGTTCGATTCCCCACATGGGTACAATGTGTGAAGCCTGGTGTCCCCCTTTGTGATATTGCTGGAATATTGCTAAAGGCGGCGTAAAACTAAACTCACTCATTTAAAGGAAATGAGCAATGAATGCTGTTTATGCTATCATCAGACAACCATCGGTGTAAACAGTGGTGGCAATGAGCAATCAATATCATTAATGCTATCATCAGACAACCATCGGTGTAAACAGTGGTGGCAATGAGCAATGAATATCATTAATGCTATCATCAGACAACCATCGGTGTAAACAGTGGTGGCAATGAGCAATGAATATCATTAATGCTATCATCAGACAACCATCGATGTAAACAGTGGTGGCAATGAGCAATGAATATCATTAATGCTATCATCAGACAACCATCGGTTTAAACAGTGGTGGCAATGAGCAATGAATATCATTAATGCTATCATCAGACAACCATCCGTGTATACAGTGGTGGCAATGAGCAATGAATATCACTAATGCTATCATCAGACAACCATCGATGTAAACAGTGGTGGCAATGAGCAATGAATATCATTAATGCTATCATCAGACAACCATCAGTGTAAACAGTGGTGGCAATGAGCAATGAATATCATTAATGCTATCATCAGACAACCATCGATGTAAACAGTGGTGGCAATGAGCAATGAATATCATTAATGCTATCATCAGACAACCATCGATGTAAACAGTGGTGGCAATGAGCAATGAATATCATTAATGCTATCATCAGACAACCATCCGTGTAAACAGTGGTGACAATGAGCAATGAATATCATTAATGCTATCATCAGACAACCATCAGTGTAAACAGTGGTGGCAATGAGCAATGAATATCATTAATGCTATCATCAGACAACCATCGGTGTAAACAGTGGTGACAATGAGCAATGAATATCATTAATGCTATCATCAGACAACCATCCGTGTAAACAGTGGTGGCAAAAAGCAATGAATATCATTAATGCTGTCATCAGACAACCATCAGTGTAAACAGTGGTGACAATGAGCAATTAATATCATTAATGCTGTCATCTGACAACCATCAGTGTAAACAGTGGTGACAATGAGCAATGAATATCATTAATACTGTCATCTGACAACCATCAGTGTAAACAGTGGTGACAATGAGCAATTAATATCATTAATACTGTCATCAGACAACCATCGGTGAAAACAACGGTGGCAATGAGCAATGAATATCATTAATGCTATCATCAGACAACCATCAGTGTAAACAGTGGTGACAATGAGCAATGAATATCATTAATGCTATCATCAGACAACCATCGATGTTAACAGTGGTGGCAATGAGCAATCAATATCATTAATGCTATCATCTGACAACCATCGATGTAAACAGTGGTGGCAAAGAGCATTGAATATCATTAATGCTATCATCAGACAACTATCGGTGTAAACAGTGGTGGCAATGAGCAATCAATATCATTAATGCTATCATCAGACAACCATCGGTGTAAACAACGGTGGCAAAGAGCAATCAATATCATTAATGCTATCATCAGACAACTATCAGTGTAAACAGTGGTGGCAATGAGCAATGAATATCATTAATGCTATCATCAGACAACCATCCGTGTAAACAACAGTGGCAATGAGCAATAAATGTTGTTTACACTGCAATGTACATATTTAGATATCATGATACATGCTACAGATTGTAAACATCAATCCTCACAAGGTGTTGGGACAAGTTTCATCGGTTAGGCCATGTTTCCAGGTTTCAGCTTCAACAGGAGTCATGTAAATACAGACATTGTCACAGTTCATGGAGGACAGCACTTGAGAGGGGTCTCAATCTTTGTATGTAAATTCCTGTCCAGCTGATGGACAGTGATGAAAACACAGCCATCATCAGTCACATACATCTGATAACATGACCCACAACTCTAAACAATGCTCCACTATGACTTCATACATTCAGTCTGTCAACAAGGATTTATGATGGAAGACTAAATGACCTTCGAAAAAAAAGTGAAAAATTGTGATGCTGTTAAAAATTGTTCATTGTTTTCATAAAGTTGTCTTTTCTGAATTTCAGAGGCATTTTAACATAATAAACCATGATTAACACTGCATTCAATGCAGTAAAAGCTAAACTAAGTAAAGCTTCTCTCTTCCGCTATATTGATACTGACTGTGAAATACAAGTCGCCACTACAAAATTGTAACAATAGTTTGACAATAATCATAATTTTGGCAGGAATTGGGAAATGTTTTAATTCCTAATTTGGGAATTTAGGACATTTCGTGCGAGCAATAGTGGTCTCTTAGGAACACCCCTGGTCACTATTGCTAAACCAAAACATACTCTATACAGGCTATCATGACACACATCTCCTTGGAACATTTGCTAAAGCATCAAGGATTTTCTGTAGTTGTTATTTAATGCTACACACAGCAATAATACAGCTTCATGATGACAGTCTCTACATGATCGTGCCTGAACCAGACAATCCAGTGACTGACATCATGAGCATCAATCTGTGCAATGGGATATGCTGACAAGCATCAAACAAGTCGGTGAGCCTGACCACTTGATCCTGTTAGTTGCCTTTTATGGCAAGCATGGGTTGCTGAAGACCTGTCCTAACTGGGATCTTCATGAGTGCAGCATCAAGGAGCATTTTGAAGATATATCAAATCAAATGAATAAAGATACTAGGGGTGACTATTGAGGGTGAAACAACTATTGCGATAGCGATAGTCTATTGCAACATAATATTGTGATAGTGATAGTCTATTGCGACCATCTATTGCAATACTATTGCAATAGTTTTTTTCTCTCCTTGAATTATCTCGTTTTAAGTCATTTCCCAAATGAACATATAGTTTACATGAAATAAAAACAAGTTAAAGTAGTTTCAGTCAATTTAATAACTGACAAGAAACTTGAAACCCAGATTAGGTAAACAGTTAAAACATAAACTCTGATTTAGAATGCAGACTTGCAGCTTCACAAAGTGAATGAATCTGGTACTTCCTGTAATTTGCGCTGCGAATTTATCAATGGAAGTCAATTACTAAACTATCGATAGTCACACAAACTATCAATGCATTGACAGTTTTTCGTTTCTACCATCGATTTATTGCTATCGGAGACTCAACAATTGCAATGGAACGATAATGTATGTTATATATTGATTACACTTTCTTTGAAAGTACAGATTCTAGTACTTTTGGGGGTTGAGTCCCATCTGGGATTCGAACCCATACCCTCAGAGTCAGGCACCTAATCGCCAGCAGACAAAGTCAGCCACCGAGACCGCTTCCACAAAAATGGAAGTCGGACAACTGGTAGTCTAGACTGCGGACTTTGTGTACCCCTCTGATAAGTGCTAATTGGCATGGCTCCCACGGCCGAAAGCTATGATACACAATGCCATTTTAGAAAGTGGTCAAATGTGACGTATATTATATTTGGGATTACACTTTTTTTGTTCGAATCCCAGATGGGACTCAACCCAAAAAGTACTAGAATCTGTACTTTACAAAGAAAGTGTAATCCCAAATATAACATATGTTACGTTTGAGCACTTTCTAAAATGGCATTTGGTATTTCAATGGAACGATAGTTCTATGCATCATTACAGCCCTAAAAGATACAACCATAACTTGATTCTTTCTCCGGTCTGACTTGGCGAAAATGATGGAAAAATGAATTTCACAGTTACCATTTAATAAACAGAACCACTTTATCACTTGTCTGATATGTGAATTGTCATAAAAACATAATGAATGCTTTCAGAAACAACACTTACCACTGGAAAAAAAGAATTCAACGTAATAACATTAACCTCTCTGAATGTGAACCTCATAACATGACAGTGTTTCAATCAAAAGAAACTAGTTTTCACCTGTTATTTTGAGCATAAATTTATATTAATTGTGATGAAGGTTACTGTACCTCTTTGATGAAGTAGACTTTGGTCCCAAGGAAGAAGCCCATACGAACCACAGCTCGGACGGCAGCATTCATTCCTGAAAAAAAAAAAAAATCAGCAATATTATAAATAATTACGCCACACAGTAATCATTGAAATATCAGTGTGTGCACTGCCATTTAAGTCCTGCTATTCAAACATCTAAGCTCTAGTGTTCTGTAATGATAAATAAATATCTAAAATAAAATAAATATCATAAAAGCAATGGTACAGAGGACATTTCATGTTTCTAGTGAAACATGATGTATCTATCAATGAGTAATAAAAGTGACTTAAGTTTACATGGGTGAAAATATGCTCTTCATGTCACGAGATGACAGATACATCATATTTCACTGGACACATGAAATATTCTATTTATCATATGCTTCCAATTTAATAAAATTACATGTAAACAATTTTCATTTGAGAAAATTGGATTAACGAAGTACAAATTCTCCCAACTGTTAACTGAAGACTGTTTACTTCTTTGTTCAGGCACATAGATAAGACTTTGTTTAGTAAACTAACAATATCTGTACCAGTTTCTTTTTCCTATTTATTTTCATTGATTGAATAAGATTGGTCCTTATAACAATATCCATCAAAGAATCCCTTCGATTGTAGCATAAACATCAAAATTATGTGCTGGTGGATCATAAATCACTGATACAGTAAACTAGGTTTAAACTATTGAAATATAATTTTCAGACAAATATATCACGTTGACACGCTCACAAAAATGCATATTCTGCAGTCACTCATAACTTGAATTATGAAAATACTAAATTTTCATGCATCATTCAGAATTAAAGCATTTGGGTAAGACTTCCGCCGGTATTCCCCCTAAATTTTAACAATGAGGAAAATGTCTGGCATGAGTGGCATTTTAGAAGTTGGATATGTCTTTCAGTAAGTTAAGATACAATCAAAGAATTTGCCATGGAAGGCCAAACCATTTTTTGATAATTTTTTCTTGGTCAGTGTGACAGGAAACAGTGAACATGGTACAAGCAGCTGAATTTGGTATGTCCTTGAACTAAACAGGAGGAAGACCACAGTTACACAGCATGTGAAATTGGAATCAATACATGAGAGTCTCAGCTTGTTTTCCTTTATCGACTACGTCTGAGAAGAACATATACGACTAGGTTTTTTTCAAAAATTGATAATCAGATCAAATACAGCATTAATAACCATTCCTATAATAATTGATGATACACAAGGGTCAACGTGACCCGTCAGCGATAGGCTACTTGGTCAGATCCATGCGATCGACAATAATAACAAACCAGCGACCGAGTTGCGTGAAACCCATTTGCATTTCTGATCAATTCCAGAAACATGCCCATGCATAAACATTTGTAACGTGCACAGTATCATATGCCCTTGTCTCTGTAATTGTCATCGACAGTGTCAATTTCGCTTATCATAAACATAAATTCTTGGCTTATCGATCAGGCCAACCATAAGATGCATCCCAGTATCAGATTCACTACCCTTAAACATGACGTTAGTGTATACGACGTGTGGTACGGTGTGAATGCAGTTAAAATGGTCTATCAGCACTTGCCAACGGCATCGTCTGCAGCATGTTTGGGTCTTCTTATGTTTAAATTATAACTCACCATAGCCAATAAAGCTCAATATCAAACTTGATAGTGATAAATTGAGTCCCATGGTGACTCTTACCTTGGGAGTCCCCTCCACTGGTGAAAACGCCGATGCATTTTCCCGAGCAGCTGCCGGGAGCGATTCTAGATCCCTCTTTGCCTGGTGTAGCCATGACACTGTCTTTCCTTGACATAACACGACGCGGCGGGTTGAATGTTGGCAACTGTGCATCGCTGAACACCGCGTCAGACTCCATGTTTGGAGATGCGACCTTCACGTTTTTTGTCAGACAAGCAAAACGACCTTCGTTTGCGTGACCTTGCTGTCACGAAATGACGAGAGATGTTGCGAGATTTCATATCTAGTTCCCGTTGTCTGCAGCGCTAAACTACTTTGCGCAACACTATTTGCTCAGAGTCAAAGCCCAGTTTGACCGGTAACATATAAACGTCTCTCGAGAAAGCGGTTGCGCTCCACACGGTGCGCACATTTGCCTACATTCATATTTTGTTTGCTGGCTAAATAACATCAATATAAGTTAACGAACGTATTCATACTTCCCCCGGTCATAAAAGTAAAACAACATACTACATATTTTTACAACAAGTACTTCAGAGGGTTTTACTTAGGAATACAAATGATGGCTCGGTCTGACTCGGTTACTTGGGAAACGAGGCACATCATTTTGTTTGACACAGAATATGATTTCTCTCAATGCTTACAGACTTTTTTTTATTTAAAAGAATTAGCCAGACATTTAAGAGAAGCCCTGTTTTATTCAGGACATGCATTGATCGAAACAGTTTTTAAAACAATGCTTTTCCATTTAATGTATTCTGACCGTTGTGAACGAATATATGGTAAGCGGGTATGATTGTATATTTCACGTCTTTAGCCATTTTTTTCATCCTGTCTGGGAGTCTGGGTGATGAAATACGGGGCGCGTTCAAAAAGCTCTAAGCCCCATCTAGAAAATGGTACATATGCAGCTGTTTTTTAATGCTTTATTGTTTTACATATTATCTGTCAGCCTCAAGCAAACTGGTTTTGCTATGTTCCAGCCTCACGATCTTGGTACCCCAAACTAACTCAAACTCAATTCAAATTCATCACAAACTTCAGTAAACAAGATATGCCAGAAACATTTTGTGTGTTTGGGATAGGTAGAGCTCAGCTAGAATCAAGCTTAGATATTAAAGTGCACAAAAAGGTAATTTGAAACTACAATCGCTTGTTAAAGTGATTCCCCCATGATGTTTACTGAAAAAACTTGTTTTGGAGACACTACCCAACCCCCTTCCAGATGACGTAATCATAAGACATAACTTATTCTCATGTTTTCATTTATTCATACATGATGCAAAGGGTTCAAACTAAAAACTGAATGGTCACACAAGTGTCAGCCCTCAATATATTGTAAACAGTGCCAGCTTGAATATCTGGACTAAAACACAATGTTTTAGAAATATTATAATGGGGGTGTCCTTAAAAAACGGGTCCTAATAAAAATGGCTACAAAAAAGTCAAAATGGCCACAAACCCTTAGTCAAAATGGCCACATCAAAAAGTCAAAATGGCCATACATTATTTTTTTAATTTTTAATACTCATAACATTTTCCTATGTTGCATTATTTGATACCAAGGTATGAAAATGACAAAAGAAGTTATATCAGACAAAACTTGATGTTTATTACACATCAGCAAAGCATATTTTCAACAAATAACAAAACATATATATGTAGGTTCTTTCTTCCCCTACTTGCACTTTATCACTATGTACTACTACATGACATCCAGGTAGATGAGTTACATCAGGTCAGACTCAGTAAGTTCCACTGGCCCAGTCAGCTGGGCACAAAAGTTAGGTGTACTTTTCCTGAGTGAGAGAAAGCGTAGATAAACATTTTCAAAGCAAGAAGTATTTTCAAAACCCCAGACCTCACATGAAGATGACCTAAAAAGTATAAGGACAATTGCATTAAACACAGAGATTAACAATAAATTGATCAATTACGGCTTAATCAGTTAACGAGTCACTTCTGGATTCACATCTTAATTAAGGTTACACAATGTATATAATCACATGTTGATTACTAATTAACGAGCCAATTAAAGGATAAGTGGTCATTTTTTTAATATCCATGCATCTTACCTTCGTCTTCACTTGTGCCTCCTGATGTTTACCAGGCTCTATGAGATGGGAGTGGGGAAGAGCCCTTAGTAAAGGTGTCCTGGTCACTTATTGTCATGTTATCAAAACACTACCCAATGATCATAGGGTTTTGAAATTTACATCTAAAAGTATTGATTAAGAAAACTTTGCGAGAGTAACTAAACAGCTCAAAGTATTACATAAGAAAACATCTCAAAGTACAGGACAAAAAAACCATCTCAAAATATTAAATTAGTAACAATCTCAAAGTTAAGAAAGCATCTCAAGAACAATACTCAATAATATACCCATAATGTATGGCCATTTTGACTTCTTTCTATGGCCATTTTGACTTTGTGGTATGGCCATTTTGATTAGGGGTTGTGGCCATTTTGACATTTTTGTGTGGCCATTTTGACCTGTTCCCTTAAAACAATCTCAAAGTTAAGAAAGCATCTCAAGAACAATACTCAATAATATACCCATAATGTATGGCCATTTTGACTTCTTTCTATGGCCATTTTGACTTTGTGGTATGGCCATTTTGATTAGGGGTTGTGGCCATTTTGACATTTTGTGTGGCCTTTTGACCTGTTCCTTAAAACACAGCCCTCTGAATATAAATCAAGCAATCCAAATGGTTGAATCTTGATTATGATGGGTAGTCAATACTATACTGAACATATTTTACATGATATTATCTGAGGGCATACCAGTATCCAAGAGGTACCAAATGACAGATCGTTCTTCATTTTCTGCAATTTGTTAAAGAAATATTATACCCCAATATGCTGTGATGACTAATATCTCGTTAATCATATTACCCACATAGATGTGAAATTTTGGTTATGACTTTGCTAATAATTCCTTCACAATAAGATGGAAGCTTTTCAAACATTGGACATCGAGAATATAGTTAGGCTGACTACTTTTAATTAGTTAGTTAGGTAGGTAGGTAGGTAGGTAGGCCACCATGATTTGGTAGGAGTCCATTACTTTTCAAACAGACGGATGTGTATAATGGCCGATATCTCCAATCAAGAGACGTGACTTGCTTAATTATTTACAGGCCACCATGATTTGGTAGGAGTCCATTACTTTTCAAACAGACTAACACGGATTTGTATAATGGCCGATATCTCAAATCAAGAGACGTGACTTGCTGCAGGAAATGGCCAGGGAGAACATTGACTTGACATACTAAAGTGACGAACGGCGGAAACGAAGCAAACAGTTTCTATTTCATAGTACTTCTTCAAAGTGCTACGTGATATTTAGTCCGTCACCATAATGTCTTGACGCAACACCACAGAGTTAAACTCGACAAACAGGATGAAACCAAATGTGCACAACCAACCAAGTCAGCTGCCTGTCACGACTGAGTACATTTCCTTCTCAACGTTAGCACACCATTTTCTTTATCCGAACACACACATATATCCGTACATTGCAAATAGGGGGGGGGGGTGGGTCTAGCAGTGGTTAAAACGTAAGCTCGTCACGCCGAAGGCCAGGGTTCGATTCCCTATCTAGGTACAATGTGTGAAGCCTTTCTGGTGTCCCCCGCCGTAATGTTGCTGGATTATTTCTAAAAGCGGCATAAAACCATACTCACTCACTCGTAGTTTTTATCAAACGTTTTCGGTTTTCTCCATACATTTGTAACGTCATGTTTGATTAATGAATCCAGAGGATTGCAACTAATGTGTCGTGCAAACATTAAACACTAAATATATGGCTTGTTGAACGGGAAACTAAAACATTTAATCGGATTTTATGCTTTACTAAGGAAAAAACACAATTAACTGTTAAGTTTAATCAAGCATGTTCCGGGCCATAGTTGACAGCGCCTCATCTATATTGCATACGTGACCACGATTATTTAAATACTTGTTTACCATCGACGGGACGTAAATTAGCAACGTCGATCAAATACACCAGCAGTGAATAAGTGGGTGAAGGCTGTTATAGTCATATCAGCAAAATTATGGCTGTCACGGAATCTAGATATAGATTAACAGTCTACTCAACTTTGGACTAAGCGAACCAGAGGTTGATAACATGAACAACTATATTTTTGTGCAAGGCATGTACGTAATATAATGCACACAGAACTCAATAAAATACTAATATATTTTATGGTGTTTACACACATACACCAGTGTAGGACCAGGGACGAGAATTCAGTTTTCAGTATGTCCCTAGAAAACCATTAGCTTGTATGTGCACATATTCCTCTATATGCTTGTACTCATCATGTGTTTGTACTCATCACATTGGGAACAATAAAAAAATGTTTTTTTTTAAAAGTCCCTAGAAAACAAACACAAAACAGGTAAACACGTGGAGACAGGGCCGAGTTCATACGAAAATGAAACTGTTCAAACCATGGCATAAGGTTGCAGTCGCCTATGTAAACCGACAAATACAGCAATTTGAGCAACATGGTGTATGTGATGAAGTTTTGTCAGTATCTGACTGTTGGAGGATAAAGACAGAATTGTCGTCTTTTTAATATCGTTGAGGTATTGATCACAAGTACGGTAGCTCCACACACATCTTCCAGTCCCTGTAGTAGGGGAACATCCCAGTGTAAACAGAACCGACAGTCCCTTTAAGTGCTCCGGATTCTCAGTGAGACTTTATGGGATTTTTCCTTTGTTCTATTTCACCATAAATGGTGAATCATAGGTGTTAAAGGACATCAGTTCAGTCTGCATGATCGTATCCATTTTCTATGGTTCTTAACCTAAACCTAAACCAAGTGGCGGCGATTCCTGTGAACAGGTAGTCAATATATTTTGACCCTGGCAACCAACATCTGGACAAATACATCATTACAAAGCTGATGTAAGCGGATATCTAGTTGCCGCTACATGTATAACCAGTCGCATATGTCTTACACCGTGACAGCTGCTCTGCGAATATAACATGCAGGGAGTAATCGCAGAGGGGGAGAAAACCATGGTGTTTTGATCAGTGGTAGTACAGAGTGTATGGGGTGGTTGCCATTAATACTCATTTCTCAAATAAAATGAAATATCAAAAATCAAATTCAAAACCTAAGTCAACATTGACCCAAATGTTTTTTTCAACAAGCATGAAGCTAAATGCGCATAACCAACATAGTCAGCTGCTTATGACGATTTAGTAAGGGGTGGGGGTGTTCCATGAGCGCA